GTCCATCTATCCATCTATTTATAATAAATTGCATTTAGGCTTTGAATTCAGTAGTATGCATCTTTTGATCTGCAGTTCTTTCGCCGCGCCACGTATCCGCTCAGAATCGTTCGAAAACCATCGACCTTATTCACCTCATGCGTACGTACATGCACTACCACATCAAATGCATGAAGGCCTACTTGCAGATGCGAATGCGAGCCAAGACGAGCGAATTTCTCAAAATTCTTAACCGCGCTCATCCCAATGCGGACTCTGTCACCGCTAGAACCTATGCTATTAGCGATTCAGACATGTCGAGCATTCAAATGCTGAGGTCCTCTACGAGGTTTGTAATCCCCCTTTCAGCCAATGCACTGGCATTGATATTGGTGTTGACTAACATACGCAATTTTACAGTTTAGAGGCTCTAAACGGGTAACGAATGCGACCAAATTTATTCGTCTTTATTTGCTTTTAATTCTGGCGTTTGATTTATGGTGCGCTGATTTGATAGGATGTGATTTGGCGGTTGACATGCTTTTTTCCCCGTTTTAACTTTTGCATCTTTGTTTTAGCTTCCGCAAGGTGCGTCCAAGTTAAGGGTACTGACGCACTTTTTTTGAGAGCTGTCATCATTCTACACACCCTTTGACATTCCCTCCAAATTATGATCGGCTGTGGGTATCTCCTGGTTATATAGAAATGCTCAATTTTCCTACTTCCTTTGCATACGAACGTGTGATCAATCTGTCTTAATAAATACGCCTTCTTTTATTGAGGGACCCCTCCTCAGTGCTTGGGACTGGTTCGTCTAAGTTTAGGAGCGTGGAATTAAGCAATACTGGTTTGGTTTAGATTGAGTTTGGGTACTATTTTGAAGTGGTGAATTCGCAAGGTAAGTTGGGGGTTCTTTATAAGTGCTGTAGCGACTAGTTCTGAGTTAAGTTCATTTTTACAAAATCGGGGGAGAGGGGATTATTATTTTACCTTGTAAGCCGAAAGGAAACGAAAGGTAGAAAACATAAATAGAGAAGTCTAGCGATTAAAAGCCGATTTGATTAGTAAAAGCCAAGATAATGCTGCAGATTTTTTTGGCAGTTTTAATGGCAAGAGCGTGTTAATACACCGGGGAGGAAAATATGGCACTAAAACACATTTAATATGCAATTTAACATACGTACTTGCCTAATAATGTGCAAAAAAATGTTTAAGGTCTATTTAAAGAACAAGCTTTTTGCTTTATTTACATAAATCATTGCCGCTAACGTAGTGGAGCGCGTTCTATGACAACGGCACTCTGGCCTTTTGATTGGACATGGAAATTTGGTCATTTTTTTCAATTACTTTGGTATGAATTGTTATTAAAGTATCATTATTTTACTCAGTTACTGCGTAATAACATGTTCTGTTGGTGATTTCTTTAATGGTCTTTTTTTTTGGGACTCATGCTGTTGTTTTTTTTCACATGGTCTTGGCTTTTTCATCTCTTGTCTGAAATCCCGCTCCTTTCTTGTATGTATGGGATGTTCTTATTAGTTTGGATAATTTTTTAACTGGTTTTGTTTTTAGCTTTTCACTGTTTGGCTATCTCGGGCCTCTGTTCTCGACCTGAATACGGCAAACTTTCTAGACGTTTTAAAGGCGCATGAATTCGTTCTTGTCAACTTCTATGCAGAATGGTGTCGTTTTAGTCGCGATTTAGCTCCTATCTTTATGTCAACCGGTGAAAGTGTCGCCCAGGAATTTAAAGACGGCAAAGTTGTACTTGGCCGTGTGGATTGTGATGACCAGGGTGAGTTTCCGTGCCCTTTTCATTTGCCCTCGTTCTTACATTCTGTTTGTTCATTGTCCAAAAATTGAGGTTATAACTCTGTTGGTAACCTGCGACTAAATTAATGGTAATTGCATCATCAGGCTGGCTTATCTGGTAATAAATTTAACCAAACCTAAGTTTTTCCTCACAAATACTCTTGAAAGGTTTTTTTAAATTACGAACTTTTTATTTTTATGAGAGGTGTATTTACCACTGGCTCTGAATATTTTAACAACGACGTTGATTAGTTAGTGGTGATTTATCAGTAGCAGTTGTTTCTTGGTCAACTTTTCGTTTGCTTCTTAGAGACGAGTGGTAAAGACCCGATTACGGAAAAACGCTGGGGATTAGGATAAATCGCGATTAGCGACAAGCAGAATAAGTTGGTACGGATTGTGAAAAAGTGTCATGTGATTTTTCCTTTTGATATCCCTCTCAGCCCTTGCATTATATCGACAACTGGGAAGAAAATTAGAATAATCTTACTCCCTTTTAAAAAGGTTTTCTACGGCCGAATTCCTAGTTTTCTTTTGGGTAGATGTCGAGAACTGTTTACGAATACGGTAAATTGATGTGAGTAGGTGGTAGACGAAGTCTTAGTAACAAATGCAAAAGCGTAGACCCATTGGTACTGCAATACTCAATTAATCAGTCAGTCTTCAATCGAAAAGCGAATGTCATTACTACCCACTTTTCATATTCATCCAAGCATTTCTCATCCTAGTCATGAGCATGGCCAGCGTTGATAGTGCTCGTTAGATAATGCTAATGTTAGTAAAGTTACATAATCTGTCGTCTCATTGACGCTAGCAGTATATATACCCCAGTAGCGCATACTAATTACGCTGGTTGTGTGTCACTCCTACATCTTATAAGGTGCTTGTTGAGGTCAGCCCTTGTAGTGCTTAACTTAATCAAGAATTGTCGTGCACTTTTTTTCCTGGTAAAGATAGTCTTCTCAACTGCTGTGTGATTTGTAGCATGGGCGTACCGATTTGTCTCCTTAAATCAATTTTGTTCTCTTTCCTAATGTATCCATCTTGAATACGGGTACTTATTTTTTCTCGTGGTTTTTTTTTTATAGGACTGAGGGATTTGCCAAGTATTTGACACACCCACGCTTAGACTTGACTTCACCTCACTTACAGTTGTTGTCACAAGTGGCTGCCTACTTCACTCTAGTCAATCACGCTATGAAAGCCTGTTCACTTCCTTTTGTCGCCTAACATTGTAGTCGATAGGAATTAACTTAGAAGGCACCTACTAGGTGGTAAAGCCTTCTGGGAACGGAGATTATTCCACATACTTCTGGATGGCTCACTGAAGTTCGTATAGTTACGCCACTTAGTCGTCTACTTGTGCTGTATTCCCATTTACCGCACCTCCTGTTGGCGAATGGTGGGCTTATTTCGTATGCGAATCACTTTTCCGTACGAATATTTGCCAAAGAACTAGATGTTGGCTAACGACTTACCTACCGTATAGAACAGTGCATCACTTCTTTGTCTTTTTTTCTCATTCCATTATCAGTTTGGTACATTGACCATCCTTGGCTTTGCAAAACACGAAGCTATAAAAACTTACCACCCTTTTGCGGAAGATGCTGCCTTGAAACTCCCCTTCGTAACCGTTCTTTGGGTAGAGCCGAAAATCAGGAGATTTGATAAACTGTGGATTCGGTTTTTCCTGTGCTCACGATCTATAAGTACATGCAGCGTGCCGGCACCTCCCCTGGAGACGAAAGGAGACATAAAACATATTGTTGACATATAGAAGGGCTTGAGGGTTGCTGGTATGGTTCGGTGGCCAGGGCACCCGGTGGGGGTACAATGGTGAAGCCTCAGATAGTTTATTAAGGACAGGCTGATGACCTCTATCGGCTAACTACTCCCATTGGACTTGTTGTCTCATCTCCCTTATCTCCCGTTTTAATACTTTCCCGCTTTCACCTCGCTTCGCCGACATTGCTGTCGCTCTTGCCACTCACTAGACTTGCCCCGACAAGCTGAATAAACGCTGTTCCTCACGTGACTTGTCTGCTACTCTGTTCCGTGTTCTCCTCCGCGTCGTGGGTCTAAGCTAGCGCGGCTAGGCTGCCACCGCTTAGCCATTCAATCGTACAAGTAACCCGCCACAATGACTTCCGACCTCAAACGGTGGGCTCTGTCTGAGTGGCTTAGATCACCTTGCTGAATCCAAATTACTTCCCCATCCTCCGTGCCTTATCTTCCATAATCACCCCAGCACCTATATGCCCGATTCCCGTTGTTTACGCTTTTGAATTCGAATCCGAAAGGTGGAAGAGTATAGTATTAAGCAGATTTCCCCTTCTGATGGGAATCGAAAGAGGTTGCAACTCTGGTCCGATTTGCAAGCAGTCTTGGCCACATTTTTGGCTATCGCCATGATAACAGATATTTTGACAATCCCGAGGGCTTAACAACTGCCGTGTTAATGGCAGTTATTGAAGTCACTTGGTCCAGGTGCTTGACAGTTCAGTAGCCTTGAGTTTCACTAGTCCTGTCATTGTTTTTCCCGTCCCAGGTGCCCTCTGCATGTCACAGGGAGTATCAAAGTATCCGACATTGCGACTTTTTAAGTTTACTCGGCGCTACGGCAGCGAGTATCGAAATCAAAGATCTGTGGAGGCCTTCTTGACCTACCTTCGTGAACAGACGGCGGATCCTGTAAAAAAACTAAACTCAGCGGTGCGTTTTCGTTCATTGTCTCTTCGTCGCTGCAGACTTTGTAGAGGGTTTTTTCGAAGCTAGGATTACTTAATTTGTTTTTCTCTACTGTTACCCCCTCTAATAGATGGAGGTGGGGGGCTTGACAACCCCACGGAACATGGTGGGCATCTTTCCCGCCTTCACGAGCGACAATGCGGCCTACATGAACTTCTACATGGCCTCCCACCTCGTCGGTGACTGCACCTTCTATGGAGTGGCGGAGTAAGTTCAACCGACTTCACTTTTTTTCTAACTAATGGGAAAACTGGCCTGAATTTAACTGGAGTATATTACAAGGGTTCTTTGAAGACTGGTGTCAAGTTTTTGCGCTTGTTGATAAAAAGAAGGAAGAGTGAGAGCGCGGTGGGGGGGTGGCGGTTTTCGAGAGCATTCTTCTCTAACCCTTGCCTCCTTCCACTTCAGCAAGAATGCCACCGCATCGGTAATCAAATTCCTCCTTAAAAAGGTTCGTTTACTCCCATCACCATAATCCATCGTACCTGTTTCTTCACCTTGACCTTTGAACTTGGAATCCACTTTTTCTGGCCTAAAAGTACCCTCCGACTGAAGACGCAAAGCCGCAGCAACTGACACTGGTGAAGGAGGAGCAGGCGACGGTTGAAACGGTGACCGACTTTGAGGCGCTCCGTAGCTGGGCGGTGGAGCGCTGCACGCCCCTGGTGCGTGAGTTGACTTTCGCCAACGCGGAGGAGATCACCGAGCCACGGCTGCCTCTTCTCATCCTCTTCTACCCGCCAAACAACTTCACTGCGGCGATGAGATTTGGAGTCCTCATGGAGGAGCACTTTAGCGACCTCAAAGGTGTGTCATGTGGTGAATTTGTCCAAAAAGCACTATTTTCTGAAGATCTATCAGATTGGAAATGATGGAGTACCTGTGCTCTACTGAAATTTTATTTCAGTAGACTAACCAACCTCAATCCCAGGACGTTGCGTAACCCTGGTTACCCAAGCGCTACTCAAACACCACTTCAGTAGGCTGACACAACCCACTTCATTCCTAGGCCGTTTTGTGCCCTTGGTGGCCAATGGCGAAGTCTTCTCCCATCCACTCTTGCACATGGGCAAGACAATGCATGATCTCCCGCTGATGGCGATCGACTCCTTCCAGCACATGTTCCTCTATCCAGGGAATCTGGATGAAGCCCTGAAGGATCCCAAGCATATCAACCAATTTCTGGCAGATCTTGCCTCGGAAAAACTCCATCGGCAGTTCCATGGCTTCTTTGAACCTCCGAGTGAAGTGGTAAGTCGTCATGCCTGTCTAGGATTGCCCAGATGGATGTGAAAATGATGGCTATATGAAGGGTGGAATAATGTTGTCTAAACCTCCTTAGCCGCAGAAACCACCATCAGAGGATAAAGTAAGTTTCCACGCCTTATTTACCCCGTTGATTCGCATGCGTTGTCGTCATGGTCTTGTGCACGAAGAGTATACCTTGGCGGAAGACTGTATCGGCCTATTAATTGGGAACTGGCCCCCCAAATGGATTGTAATGTGATCCCCCATTACAATTGTTAAGCTTGACGTCCTTTGCGCTTGTTCGTCGGCGATTTATCAACACCTCATCCTTAATTTTTAGCTCGTACATTAAATATTCGGGCATAAAAAACATGAATGATAATCCGTCATTTGTCTTTCTTTTTTACGCCTTTTTACCTCGATGCAGGATCGGAAGGCTGAGGAAGCAAAGCAATCGGCCCCGACTTCATCGGTTTTCAAACTCCTGACACCTTCCAGTAATCGGTACAGTCTCCTAAGGGACGAGTTATAGTCGGTGCGATTTGGTATTAACGCGCTTGTTTATTTGCTACTCTTTCTTTTTTTTTCTACCGAAAAGTCGGTTCTCTGTACATTCATCTCTCTGCCATGGGTTGAATAAACACGTATACATACTGGATATTAACAGAGCGGAATAAAGTTCTGCCTTTGAGAGTGCGGCGCATTTGCTTATTGGCTTTACATTTAGCTTTATTGTTTCGGGGGTTCGGAGTGTGCGGGGTCGGCGCAGCAGGCGATTGTCTTGTCAGTGGTGCGGGTGATAGCATGTGGGGGGTCACCCTGGGGTGCACGCAAAGTTTTGGGGCTATCGGATTAGTTTGCAAGCTGATAACGTGATGCTTTATGCGACAATGGTACATTTAGTAAATTACTACCAAAATAGTTGGAGATGAGGAGCAAATTATGAGGGAAGATGTGAGGATACGTAAAAAAGTCTTGATTCTAAAATAACAAATTAAAGAATATGAAGATTAGAAAACCTAATTTTTTTATTAAAGGAGTAGGGGGGATTTTGTGAGTAAGTGGAAGCTACTATAACAGATACTTAATGCTTTTCTTAAAAGCATTCAAATGAGTGCATATGATTATATTTAAATTAAAAAAAAATCTTAGAATAATCTAGGGTCAAAAGGTAAGACTGTTAAGTAAAATATAAAAGGGTGTACAAGTATTATTTGACCTTGGAGAAAAATCTAAACAGTCGTAGGAGTTATAGAGCGTTCTTTGAACATATTTCTGCATTGGTTGGCGAATTGGTACGTGCGTGTGCATCAAAACTTTACTCGTTTTATCCATAGACTAGTTTAGAGACAGTCTATGCTCCTAGGTTTTTTCACCCTCTGGTCAGTTCTGCATATATTTAACTAGGAAATAGCCGTCTCACGGAATTTCGCTGGTGTAGTACAAATTCTAACATACCTTGCTAAACATCTGTTCGAATAATTAGCATAACACTTTTAGCCGGAAAGCGTGTTTATGATTTTGTTTTCTGTGCGCATGATTGGTGGGAACTCCAACTTGTTTTTGTGGAATTCGGTATTTTGCCACTAAATAGCCTTATCAATACCTGTCAGAATAAGTTTTTTTACTATTATGTGCACCTTGAACCCTTGCTTCAAGATCTGCTATCGTTCATCTTGTGTACTTACCCGTAAACTATGAGACCGACTTCTATATTTGTTCTTTTAAGGCAAAAACGTATGGGAATAAATGCGCCTAACTTTTAATCAACTCAGCCATAGTTGAACAAAAATGCATACATTCCATCTTCTTGAAACTACATCATGACTTAAGTAAGAAAACTTGTCCTACTTTAATCTAGTACGAGTAGATTTTTCCTCTTGAAAACCCCTTCGGACCCTATACGACCCTCTTTCCGAGGGGAGTAGATACACTTCGACCGGAAGAATGCCCTCTTTTAGGCCCACTTAACCGGTCTGTACTGTTTTATGGTCAAAGAAGCTTCTTATACTTGGCAAAGTCAATCTTGCCTATTAACATCCTTTCTCTTTTTTTGATCAAAATTTCGGTAATTTTCCGGGAATCAACTAGGATCATCCACCCTGCATTACTTCTCAGGTCTTCAGGCACGAGGTTGCCTTTCTGTAATGTCTGAGTCATTTGGGGTGAAATGAGTGCGTCACCCTCCTCCGTTTACGAGGTCATTCTAGATGGGTGTTTGAATTCCGTTGAGGCGTGAATTTGTTAACGAGGAGAAAAACCTCAGTCCTCAGCTAAGCATGATTCAAGCGTTCATCTGTCAATTTAAATTACCCCAGGAGGCATTTTCGAATCAGCTTAGGACCTAATTACCCACAAATAATTCCCAAAACGCCAACCTTTATTCTCCTCACTCCCTTAGCTTATTTTCATCCCTATCTTTGCTATGGCTGAACTGTTTCTTCGGAAGTAGATCATTTTGCTCCAAAAAGTGCTTTTATTTCAGGCAAATGTTTGATTTTCTGTCATTCCAGCATGCTTTATTTGTTCTTCATGCAGATATTTACACAAGGAAAAGAGGTTAAATAACTAATGTCGATCACCTCCCCTATGGTGTGATTGTAAACTTGACTAGTCACATAAATTATTCACCCTCTCTATTTTACCCACTTCTTTTATGTCACGTGGCTTGGGCTGTCACATTGGACCTTTAGAAATCACTCTGCTGGCCAGGTAGACCCATTTTTCGCCTCATTCCTCCTCGATCACCTCTGTTCTCTTTTTCTTCAAATGAAGGGTCTCCCTATTTTAGACCAAAACGCCTTTTTTTCCACTGAAGGAACGAACACGTCAAGCTTGATCCTACAAGGCATGTAAATCTACTGCAGAGGCAAGCTTAGAGGGCGGTCGGGTAAAAGGGACAATTATTCCCCTAACCGTCCGAGTTGATGGGCATTTGCAGCACTCTGACTCAGTGTCATTAAAAATTTAGGAGTATTTAGTGGCAACACTAGTCTCCCGTTTATCAATCACCTTCACTTTGTCCTCTTATATTGCCAAATTGAACGAGGATTTGAATATCCTTCCCAAACGAAATATGAACGATTTCAACTTCAACCTTAGTTACATATGGGGGGGGGGGGTTTAAGAGCCCCTGCCCTGTCTACAGGGGCTGGGTGACAGCTTCCCCCTGCTGTGTTAGTTAAACAGCCGGCTTAGGTGTCAGCCAGGCTGCGAAACTTGAGTAGAACCAGCACCAAGGAGAAAGGAGGGTCCTTCTGTCACACACTCGATGTCGTAAGCGGAGGGTGGGTGTTTAGACGCCTGGGGGAAGAGCAAATTCTTTGCCACTGGAACTAGTTCTCGGCACGAGGATGGAGAGTTCTCTCTCATAGAAGCAACACTTATGGTCGCATGAGCGCGAATTTTTCCATCCCACAAATGGATTGGAGACTGGTGAGAGTCTGACAGAGTCGTCTCACAGAGATTGGGATATTTTTAACCATCCAAAATTTTGCCCGACTGATTCATTTTTCTTGGAGGAGCTTAAAATAAGGAATTTTGCATCCAGAATTACTGTTTAATCGTATTTCATGGAGTTATTTTTCTAAAAAGTCCAAAAATTCACTCTGATTTGCCTACTACAGTAACCAATGCCAACTTCCAATCTGTCTAACTAGAGCTTGCATCTTAATTTTTGCTTCGCAGTGGAAATAAGAAACTTTGGTGGATGCAAATGTGCATTTACTACTTTCTTTTCTCTTTTGCGTTGGAAAAGCTCGTGAAACTTTTTTCGCTGATTTTCTCATGCTCAACTTTATGTGAGTACACTCAAAACCCTGCAAGTGATTTATAATTTCCAGAAACAAAGAAACTATCTGCCGGTGGGCTGTCAACATCAGGGAGGGTTAACCTCGGTCACACAGCGGCTGCGATTGGGAATACCGCTATTCATGTTGACCTTCGAGAGCAACCGCGACTTTAAAACGCCCATAACATAAAATGTGTCTTGACTCTGTGTGTATGTGAGGTTACTGGGCTAGATTTAGCAAATCCAGTTGACAAAATGCAGACGGGGAAATCCACCACCACCGTAGATGTTTTACCCTACCCGCTAAATTTGAATGCCCTCGCAAAATGAACTGATAGATTTTAAACGAATTTTTTCGTGTTTTCGGGTAAATTCGCTACATAAATCCAAAAGGTACAGGATTCTACCGGCTTGGCTGTTTGAGGTATTCCGTGCTGAATTGCTACCAGGAGCACATTTATGCCTCCATATCCGGAAATCGCGGGAAAAATTGAATTAATTAACGCTAATAAATGCCTAAAAATTAATAATTGGGATTTAAAATCAGGAAGGGCACTAATTTATGACCTTCGTCATCTTAGTCATGGATCGCCAACCCCCCGCCCCGCCCCCGAGGCCGTAGCCAATCGGGGCTTAGAAAAGTGATCGATCGATGACGTTCGGTTGGAGGGCCGCACAGAAAAGCGCCCACCTTCTATAGATAACTTTAGTCCGAAATTCTTTATTTTTTTCCTCTCCTTCTTTTTTTGTTGAAAGGCATCTTTCTAGCAGATGAAAAGTAAATAAACAATTTGACCAGCCGAAATTAGCTTTCCACACTGTTGCAACTAGTTGGGTTTGACTTTGCTGTCGCCTGTTTTAACATTTCGCTTGAAGTTTCTGGGAAAAAAAACAGACTTTTATTTAAATAATTAGGCCATCTTAAGAGTGGGCGTCTTGACACAATTTTTAAATTCAACTCAAAATTTTTTTTGAAGGTGGCTTTAAGCATAAGGATTGACTGAAAAACTAAAAGTGTTTGGAGCGGATGTAGCTGCTTTAAAAATTAGTCGGCACCGGTAAATGTGTGAATGTCATTAGTTGCAAATTAAAATTGGCCATAAACCCTAATTTGTACCTTTTAGAATTTTAGTAACAAAATCAAATTAGTCATGAAAATGCTGTTCTGGTTATAAAAGTGGGTTTTGCTTCCAGGGGCAATTATTTGGTTACTTGCATGAGGCATAGTTCGCATTTGTCTTATGATGTGGTGTTACTTGTGTTTCAAACTGATAATTCCAAAAGAATCATTTGTTTTATCGATTCCGAGGTGTTCTAAGGCGACATTTTCTATAAATAGCACAGTTTTCTACACAGTCTTGTAATGTACTGTGATTGACAAGAACCCCATAGGCGGTTTTTTAAAACAAATTTACTTCGATGGACCACATTCAACTTCGTCTTATAAGCCCCTGTTTCCAAATACCTGGTATTCTGGAACATAAGCAGGTTTGTTTAAAGCCAAGACATTTAATAAATGCCAATTCTTTTTAAATTTTTTAATGTATCAACAAGATTTGAATAAACACACTTTTGACCAATCAGCGAGTGAGGTGACATGAAAGTGTCCCATACCCAATTTAAAAGTCGATTTGTGTTTAAAACTTGTTAAATAAGAGGCCGAACTTTAATTTAGTCTAAATAGACAAAATCAATGTTAAATATCGTTGTCAAAAAAATAATACGGTTGAATATCTGCTTTAGGAAACCACGTCTTCTAGTCTTTCGGCAGAATGTGTAAAGGTAGGATGAGTTTCTCAAACGGATGCGAATCCCGCAAAACGGTGCATTTTCTGCATTAAACTCACCATCATTAATTAATTAGCAGTTTCAAGCGTCTGATAGTGCTCGGGCAGAAAGTAAATTCGCATACAATTCAGACTTTTTGCCTTCTTTCGCAGTAGAGGCGCGAATAACAGAGGCCGGATGCTTTGTACTATTTGAATGCGGAACTAAGTAATAAGATCAACTATTCCTTAAAGACTAGAAAGACGTGAATGTCGTTCAACCATGGGACTTCCACATCTGTTTTGTGGCTTTGAATACAGCACAACCTGTTTGCCACATGAAACGGGTGAGACCACCATCATGAAAACCCGGCTGGAGACAATTGTCACGTACTTGCGACAGCGGGGTCAGGTTATATTCACAGTTGAACACAAGGAAACAAGTAATTTCTACAATTTTTAAAATTCATCCTGCAAGTAGTGGGGGTGGTGAGGAACCGAAGGCAAATTGTCGGCACTCCTATGCACCCAAAATACGGGCGCATACTTTTGGAGTCAGGTTTTGTCCTCAAAATGCATGTTGTCACGTGTTCGTTGCCCCATTCTGTTCGTTTATAAATATCAAATTTTTCCCACCAAGGGGCGCATTCTAAATGACCACTGGCCTCTTTCCGCATTACTTCTCTGAGGCAGTGAAGTTGCGGTTGTTCTCTCTCTCTCTCTGTCCCCTTCTAACTGCATTTTAGCCTCTGCTGTAACGTACTGAGGCCATAAAATTAAAGTCGGTAAGTATTTTGCCGTGTAGGAAGTAACTCAGGAAGTGGCCAATCAGCTGCAGGAGTCATTAATGACCCCCAACACCTTTCGTGGCGCGGTCGCTACAAAATTCCAACTAAAGTCTACTTTTTTGCCTCCCTTTTTTGCAACTAAAAAGTGCAGTGGATTTTTTTTTCACGCGGAGAAAGAAAAAAAGTGGCGCAGAGGGACTGCAGAGACGGTGTTTTAATATTTAAGTACAGGAGAGGGTGGAGGAGGAAGCCAAGATGTGCGCAGTAGCGCGTTCACGTAAAATTCGGCCGCTCTTGGTCACACACACATAATAGAGGAGACAAATTAATCACAAGTGAGAACCGAAATTTTTACTTAAGCGAGCACATTCCGATGTGGTGGTGGTGGTAGTAGTAGGAGAGACGCTGGCGGAGAAGTGAGCTGTCAATTCGCAGCTTGGCTACAGAAAAGACCTCATTTTACTGTCCTCATTCCCAATTGTTCTACGGAATCCATTTGAGCGGGAAAAAGGGGTTATTTGGGTTTAGGAGACTGCCAGGAAGACTTTTTACTCTAATGGTTTAAAAACCGGATGGGAGGAGACGCCATGACCCGCCTACTTTATTCCACAAAAAAATAACTCAGTTCCGCCTTTTTCGCCCGCCTCCGAAACTGCCCTCCTGTTTTAATCGGGTGGAAAGTAGATTTAAGTTGTGTCGGTTGCTATGGTAACGCATTTAAGAGTAGAAAGTCGAAACGAATGGGCAATCGCTGACTCAGAGTTTGCAAGTGATCGGTGGGAATTCTAAAAAATTTTATTTTCTTTCTTAAAAAAGTGCAAAAGAAGAGATTTATTACACAATTTTGACCGTTTTTTTCGTCAGAGTGTTGTTTAAATTCACCGACTTTATCTCGCACCTCAGCTGTTGTCAGTTGTCTTTTATGAGACGTCAACGCAGCCTGTCAAGATGGTTTAGTTAAGATTGTTTGCACCGAGGGGCAAAAAATCAAATTCCTCCATCTTAACCTCCTGGTTAAAGGAGGCTTTTAAGAGCCTCCAAATGGCCTCTGACTCGATTGGAGGGGCCTCGGGTCCTCCCTCCGCCTCGAGGGAGGGACTGCTTCATTGTTGGGCGCGGTGAGGAGCTCTCGGCTCAGTCGAATGACAGCTTCACCATAGCGGAGGCCGAAACCGCGCGCGGACCGAGGACCCCGCAGTGTCGGCACCTTAGTTCCAACTGTTTTTTTTCACATGCTTTAAAATCTAGTTACTTGGGCATCTATTAACAAAGGCGTGCTTTTGAGATCACTTTGCATGAGTGCGTATACCTCTTCTATGGACGGAAGGCTTTTGAACTCATGATTCCGACAAAGATGCATTTTTATACCGGTAGCACCTACGGTCCCCCTTTGACATGAACACACAACTGGTAGACTTCCTTGCGTCAGTTAGGTTTTGTAACTGTCAAATTTTTAAATAACGATATTTTTTACTAATTAGCTCATGTTTTAATACTTAATAAGCGTCTTACAAACAAATGAAATAAATTTTTGGAAAGTAATCGCGAAACAACAAAGAAACAAAGAACTGGTGAAATAATTGATTGGCTGTGTGCTTGAACAAGTTATTTTTCAGGTTTTACTTTGGTATTTAAAGGTTAAAAGCAAAAAAGCCGGAATTTTTAATAATGATTTTAAAATTCACTTTAAGCGCCAATTTCGCCACTCCTGATTGGTGGGTTTTGGGTTTTATTAGCTGGTTGTGTCCCTTTACGCAAAAATTTTACACTTTTTAGCACTCCCTCTAGTATTCTTTTTTTTGAATCCATTGAGATGAGTTTTATGACGGTGAGATCGTGCTTTACTCCGTAAGGCATCGCGGTGTATTTTTTGGCGCAAATGCGAACCACCAAATTTGATCCTGGTCTTGAAGTTGTGGAAGTAAAAGTTTGGCATTTCGCACGCTCTCATCCAATCTCGTGTTATTCTAGTTCATCCAGCTTAACTCGACATTTTGTCCAGGAATCCAGCAAACAAACAATTGCATACGTCTAACGGCTTTGCTGATGCCGATGGTATAAGTGTGATTCCGCGTTATGAAAGATGGAAGCACTGGAGGTTGGATGGAGTGAGTAGTTGGATGTATAGATGGATGTATGGATAGAAAATGGATGGATACAGAATGGATGGTTGGTTGGATGGATGGACGTATGGATTCAGGATGGATGGATAGAAGAGGAATGGATGGATTGACGGATACAAGATGGATTGATGGATCAATGGATAGAAGATGGATGGATACGGGATGAACGGTTGGTTGGATGGATAGATGGGTGGATGGATCCAGGATGGATGCTTACACGATGGATAGATACGGGCTAGATAGATAGATGGATGGACGAAAACATACGGAATGGTTGGATGAACGGATGGATGGATAGAGGACGGATGGATAAAGGATGGATAGAGAATGGATGGATATATGGATGGAGGCATGGTTACGGAGTGAATGGATGACTGGATGGATACCGGATGGATGTACACGGGATGGAGGTGTACCGGACAGGTGGATGGATTGATAAATTCGAAATGGCTAGACGGATATGCGATTGATTGGATGGATGTGAGATTAATGGTCACGGAATGGATAGATCAGAAGTTGTCCTGACATAACCCCTCTGGCCTTCTCTACATCCACCTGCCCCGTATTATCGTCCTCCTTGGACCGCCGGCCAGGTCCTCCACCTTCATGCTCCAATAGATCTGTCTACACGAAGGCAACTTTTCTTTTGTAACCACCAGCCACCCTCCCGTCTCGTGATGACGTATCGCCCTTTCATCATCCACTCACGTCTTTGTCTCGTCAAACACCCCACGATCGTGCCTTTTCCATCCTTTTTTTTGAAATTAAACTCTCCACTTAACCACCACTTTCTTTGTCCTTTTCATCTGCAGAAATTGTGACACCTGCCCCCTCGCCGAGATGGCTCAAATCAGACCTACGGCAGAGAGTGTAAGTCATCTCCCCTCCTCCCCTTCCTCGCCTTGTCTCAACCTCCTTGAGGAAAGTAAATGACGTGCCTCATCAGCCTTCATTACCTCCTCCTCCTCTTTGCTCACCTCGTCAACGTCAATCACTTCACTTTGTCTATATTGCTGTTGTCAACTCCTGCGCCCCATCAAGAGGAGGGCGTTAAAACCTCTACCTGACAGTGGAGACATTAGAACAAGACGTCTGTTGCTGTTCCTACCTTTCCGTTGTCACTCCCAGCATTTATCATCATCAAGGGGGTAATGCGTACTCCCTCCAGCTGGGCAAAAAAAGCCTCACGTATCCTTATCCGCGAGTAGCTCCACCGAGGTGGACGCAAATTGGCGGTGGGGAAAAATTTTGCGGTAGTCGCAAGGGGAGACGGAAGGACAAGGCCTAAGCAAAACTCCAGTCTTGACTAGCTACCAACTACTGATAAACCGAATAAGTAGGGTCGACCCCCCTCAAATCGGATTAATTGCTGAGGCTGTAATTGTGCCTTTACTGTAGGCCAGAGAACGCGCTTACCTCTCGTGGATTAATTCCAAAATCTCCGTGGTGTGTCCCGGAATGTCGCTCTGTTCGTTGGACGATGAGGGTATGCGAAATGGCACTGCGCTGGCTGAACTGATTGATGCTGCCTGTGAGTTTTCTTTTTTCCTTTTTATTTATTCCTCAATATTTCTGGAATTTTAAAATTATTGTTTGACAAAATTAATAATTTTTCATAAAAGATTTCGGAGGCTTGTGAGTAAATAAAGGCAATTACAATAGACGAGTCTGAAATGGTCGAGTTGAGTGATGCGTACACGCCAAATAAACTGACGGAGATTCCTCTAGACCTTCAGGTGTGAATGCACTTTAGGGGTCCTTTTAGCTAGCTGTCTTGAAAGTACAGCCAGCTTTTCTCACCTCATTTGGCATACTTTCACTCACAAGATTTCCCTGTTCCAACTTTTCCAGCCTGTCTCCATAACTAGATTGTCAAATCAGGAGAGTTTTTCGAGTCGACAAAACTACCCGCCTCCTGTTGTACGATTTTTCTTTTCATTTGTCTTTTCTGCCTTCATCATCTCTTTTTCAGCTCTCTCCGCTTTCTCAATTTGGCAAGATTTTCGCAGAGGTACGGGGGTGGGCGGGGGGGATTGGGGAAAACTGAAAGTGACAGCAATGACAACGAATAAATAACACATTCTAAGGCAAATTTCCTCCTACTGCTTGCCTTTGGAGCAACTGTTCAAGAGAAAAAGTGTAAATGAAATTTTAACCTCCACGATTCTCTCGAATAATCGAGAGCGTTATGATTAATGGTGCCTCTAAAGTTGTAGGGGTTCCTCCTCTTGTAAAAGCCCCCTCCAGCTTTGTAACTACCCTAGGGGGTTTAGTTATTTTGCATAGGACTTCCGTTTCTAGAGTGATTGGTGCGCAAAGACCAGGAGATCATATCTCCCGCTACGCGTCACACATATGTGACATTTGTATCTCATCCCCACGGTTACATAAAATTGTACCTTAAAGCGATTGAGTGAGTAGCGTGAACCCTGTGAAGGAGCAAATTTGGTCACAAAGGAGGAAAAAGGAAATCTAATGTTAGCGGAGTGGAGTAATGAAACATAAGGTCTGACCTTTGGAGGTCAAATGGTCCCACTACTAGGGGGTGTTGACACGGGGCTTATCGCCGCTTCAAAGTTTTTTTTACAGGTCAACTCGGAGAAACAGGCGTTTTCTTGAGCTCTAAATAGATATTCGGGAATTATTTTCGGAAATTATATTTATAAATCAGTACGAAAGCTCTGACATTCACCTGCCACCTATACGTAGCAACAGTCTGTTTGTCATGCATTCTTCCACCGATATCATCTTTCTGCTGGTCAAACGTCGTTATTCCCCCTTTTTGGAGACAGAAAAGCAGTGCATCTTATTTGTTTGACAACACAAACCCTTCCCTTGGTTTGATTTGCTGGTGAAAGGAAGGGGAAGTGAATTTTCTCACACCCTCCAACTCCCCTAGCATTGTCACAGAGAATAACGGGGAAGTTTTCACTATTGTCCTGTCATTTATGGCTCACTGAATTGTCAGCCCACTTCGCTAGAGCACATAAACGAGCCAAAAGTTTATGCGTATCATTTAGCTGGTGGTGTGAGGGCCTCTTTCCTCGCTAACGGGCTAAATGAAGGGGTAGCTAAGTGCGACACATCACCCACTTGGCATGTGCGGTTAAACAAAATGTTAAGTACTCAAAGGACTGTCCGAATTTTGATGGTTTCAGAGGGTCTCCGCTCCGATTGGTTGTTCAGTTTCCGACTGGCCAATGAAATTCACCGCGCTTTGACCTTGGAATTCTGCCAAGATAAAACTGAGATCACTCGTTTTTTTGTTAGAGTTTATATTTTTTTGAAAAATATTAAAATTTTACGGGAAAGTTATGATAAAATGCATTTAGATTCCTGTTTGCCTGCTAGTTAAGGACGTGGAAAGTAAATTCCATTGTTTACGAGCACTGTAAGGTCCAATTAGAGGTAAGCCAGACCCTCAGTAGAATGCTATTCGGAAAAATTTTTTCCGCTCTCTCTGCTATTTGGCAGATGTTTTGATCTATCATTCCAAAACATTTGGAGGGGATCGGATGGAGGTCTGCAAATCCGACTTACACCGTGATTCAAGTTTGACGCAGGCGCGGAGCTACAAGAGCTGATTCCTTGTGAAGGGCGGAGAGCAATATTTGGAGGAGGCCAGAGGGTGGGTGGTGGCGGAATGACTCACTGCGTCGAATGAGTCAAAGCAAACGAATGGATGGTGAGGAAGAGTCACCCCAAGGTGGATAGACGATCAAGTGCAGGCGGGCGCTCTCCTCTTGGCATTGAGAAGTGCGAGTGTAGCTGTTGACAAGTCGCTTCAAGATCAATGTGACAATCACTACTCACGGCAGCTGTTAAAATAATAGATAGAATAGCTCGTTTTTTCAGTCTACGGATGGGTACAGAAGTCGCGGAAACCACGCAGAGAAATCGGATCCCACCCAAATTTCTTCCTCCAACATGACAGCAAGATTGGAAGACCATCAATTAGCGCCTCCTTTCCTGCACATTGTCTGCAAAAACACACTGCGCATTTGAGATTGTTTTCCGACAAACTGACTGCCTGACCAACTGATTTGTGATGAGAGCCGGCTCCTGTCTCCGCCCCAAAGATCCACTAACTGTTGTCACACCTCTAAGGCTTGCTTGCTGTGTCACGTGGACTGCAATTCTCGGGCTGATCGTGCAGCCAGGTGAAGGTCCGATTCCTGTAAAACTCTGCCATGTACACCTTAGCATGTCACAAGAATTCTCCGTGTGAAGGATTGCGCTTTAGTCGACACAACAGAGAGAGACAGGGCGGGGGAGGGAAAAAGCCCCATCTTCTCTTTTCCTTGGCGCTAGAGCCTCCCACAGGAAAGAGGAAAGACAGGTGGAAATAGAAGTGAGGCGGAATCCAAGATGCCCCCACCATTTATAAGCAACTTTCTAGAGCTAAACCTCCCCCAAACGCGGAATTTGAATCCGATTTTTTGCTTACCGCGGAAGGATTTCAGACTAGAAGGTCACCTTTTTTCCATAAGGCCTTTGGTACCGACCGGGGTGGATTGTTTCTTTTCCCTCCAGGTCGAGTCATCTCGTACAATTGCAGAAAACAGCAACGAAAGCGGTGTAACAAATGAAGGACAAATTCCACCGCCCGACCACCGGTGTAGAATTGTAGGTCTTGTCAGGAAAAATATCCCAGATGAACGGCAAGCCAGTGATAGTACTCGGTGTCAAACGGCCTGGCGTCTGATTTATGTCGGGTTAAGCCGTGATGGCTGCAACACTTTTTAAGAAATTCCATTTTTCCTGTCGCCTTTAGCCGCCTCTCGAATAGGCATAAAATCACCATGCACAACGGAGGAGGAGAAGATAGCCAACATCCGTGAAATCCTTCGACGTCTCCGCGAGCTCAATGTGCCCATTTCAAACATCCAAGCGGAAGGCACGTCTGCCACTGCATTTACTACCTACTATCAGTGATTAAAATAAGTTAGTCCTGAATTCCTGTCCTCCACTCGACATTTCAGACATTGTACGCGGCAACAAGAACAGCATCATGCGACTCCTGTTGGCCATCTCGGCGTCTTTCATGCCCAGTCACATACACGACGTGAAACACGAGATTCGTGACAGACATGCGGCTTTTGGTGGCCAGCGGGTTTGGGTGAGTGTCGAATACTGTCACTTTCTAGTTCAATTTCGCCTTTTTTCCTTCTCATTTGCAATGAGGAAGTTGACTCCGCTACTGACTAAATATGAGTAGTATATGAGTGACAGTAAGGAAATGGCTAAAATCTCCCAATTTAATAACCGATTTCGAGAGCACTCTTGGGCACTGCTTGAGGTGAAATCTTGTAGGGGGTTTTAAACGCCGAAAACGGTCTCCAAGTAGCTTTAACACTAATGCGGCTGAATTTTCACATTTTTGTTTTTGATCAGCCGCCGCCCTGAAGTCAATGACTTTGGCGGAGTAAAAATGGCGTCAGCGTCGAGAGACATTCTACACTATGAGATGGTGAGGCCCTGCCACCCACCACCTCCTGATAGAATGCCGACCCACCCAGACAACACGATGCACGGTCTAGTTGAGGAGTATATTAGTAACGTTGGAATAATCCGTTAAATATGCACCACTTTCGAAAGAATGACGTCGCTGTCTTTTGATTGCAAATTCCAACATATCGATTCTCTTTCTCACCGCTGTGAAAATAAACAGAGAAGTGAAAGAATGTCAAACAAACCATCATCATACTTAATTAAAAGTACTTAAAAATTACCTTTTAAAGACTTCAATATTGTCTGGAATACGTTTTAGAATTGTCGAACTCAGTACCCACCGCGGAGAACTGTAGCTACAACGAAGGCAGCGTCGGTAATCACTCACTTTGGCAGCTGCGCCTAGCACTAATGCCCCCACCCCACTAACCCCCGCCCCGCGCACAATCTAGCAGCTGTATAGCAAAACAAACTACCTACTTATAAAAGTTTAAGCAGGTACTTTATTTTAGCACCACGTCACCAATGTCGGCTCTGAGGCGGCCCTGGCACAGAACCGTCTCTATCCCACCGCTTACCGCCTTCAGCCAATCACAATCCACCGTCTGGTTCCAGCTGTACGACCGCCACTCTTACATGTTACCACGGCGCCGGTGCAACAGCTATCTCAGCAGAAAAGCTCAAAAGTCACTACAACTTCACTAGCACGCCGCATTTCCAGCCACATATACAACCGGAATGTGGATAAAGACAGACAAGTATATCAACAGCAGCAGTATCAAGACCGCCAGAGTAAGCAAAGGTCCTGCGAGAACCTCGTTCTGAGCGAGGAACAGCCGAAAACAATTAGAGCTTCGAAATCGCTCAATGCTCTGCATGGACGAACGTTCGTGTCAAAATTGGTGATTCCACATTTGAGGAATGTGCGAAGTTTTTCTCTGATGACTAGAGGGTAAGTTGAAGTGAAAAGTAAACAATTCGGGAGGTCAGAGAAATTAATGATAAAGAAGTAGATTCATTGATATCTCAACGAACAAGGCAAATTTCGTTGATATTTGTGTAATGAAATGCCTAAAGATTTCTACAAATCCCAACATACTGGTACTTGGCTGAACAAATCTTTGCACTTGCTACTGAGATTTATTTGTATGAAAGTCGACTATTAACTCCACAGCCAACTTATGAATTGAAAAAATATCTTTAGTGGGGAGGGCTGAAAATCAGAGACCAGATGAGGGCGTTTTTAAGATACTGAGTTTTGAACTAAGATGGCACCTTGTGCACCTGAAACTCTTATCTGGGGTTGAAGTCATTTAATACATTTTGATTTCGGAAAACAAGAAAAGGGCTTAAGTGTTCGTCACATTATTTAATCCACATTTATGGGCCACCGAATGTGACGGCCTGTTTGAAAAATAATTTAAAACTTTTAGGTGACCAGAAAAACTTCCTTTTGTGATCTAAACTTATAAAGAATATCTGTTAGATAAAGCACCAGCCGTATTTGAAAATAACTCTCGGAAGGGGCGTTTGTGTTGGGAACTTTAACCCATTAAAACAAGAGCAGAAGGCATTTCTGAATAAAGGCCGTAAATAGTTGCAAGCTTCACGTGTAGGTCCTAGCCAAAAGTGTTCGAGATTTTTCAATACTTTGCCAAAAATTTTGAGCTGCCTAATTTGCCAGTAAATGAAATGGTTTCCATTTGTTTCAGTTTGGCGTAAGTTTTGCACTTATATGTTGCACAACAACAGTTTTATGGTAGACATGTGCACTATTTGGACAGAACTTTTTAAAAATAAAGTTCTTGAGAGCAAATCAAAGAAGTAACAAAGTAGTTGGTCTTTGTGATTTTGCGTTATTAAAAAAACTACTTATGCTAACAAGATGGGGAGGTAAGCAAGTGCACTCTGCTGCAGAATGCAAAATATTGCAAAACATAAACGAGTCGTATGTTGTTTGACATCCTTCACTGTTTATTAGACTGTACGCACCTATCATGGGGCTGGCATGCTACAAATGTTAGAAATCTCGTAGTCTGCCACGCATCTTTTTTAGTTGGAAAATAATGTACACGATGATTAATAAAGTCGCTTTCTGAGTCTTTATCCATCAAAAGCGTAACTTTTGACAAGAGTTCGAAAACGGTCCATCACATTCAAGTTCAGGTAGTTAGGAGATGAGGAATACAAATTACAAAGATTCAATGATTAATGGAAATATTGGGGAATACTTCCATTTAGAGGTGTGCGTTTGACCCGATCTAACCACTGCCAGTAGCTAGACGAGTTTCCATGCCAAATCTGCAATTTCTTCTCGGCAAACGTTCATTTTGTGTGCGCGACATCTTGATCCCAAACAGTGAAAAAAGCGTCTAAAATGCACGCTTGCTAGTTCTCGAAGAAAATTCGATTTTAGAAAAGGAATAGGAGAAGATCTGTTTTGGTGTGGGGACTAAATGTAGGAAGCTGTTTAATGTACGTCCTTCGATGTTTTGATGCCTGTGGAATAGAACTATTTTCACCTCACCCCCAATTTTACGAGTCCAAAGTTATTCAAATGGCAGGCATTAAAATATTTCGTTGCGAGAATATTGCGCCAATAACTAATTTTAAGCACGAATGTATGGGAGGAGGGAGGGGGCGATCGAAGCCGGGTGGGGGTGGGGGGGATTGATACGTTGACGAATTATTGGTTGTGTGGATGGAAACGGGCTGGACAAAGCAGCAGTTAGTTCCAGATCCCTTAGATTTTTGTTTTATTTTATATAAAACTTGGGCAACACTGCCCCCACAACACAACTTCTATCCCCATCACATGCCACTGTCAGCACAATCACCTTTCCCTCCCCTCCACCTATTCCTATCAGTTATGAAGTTAGCAAAATACCTTGCAAAGAGAATTCCCGTGCCTCCTCGAGTCCGATGCACTAGCAAAAGCAAAAGCGAGCTGGATGACATTGGCCTTCCCCTCACAGACCTGCCATTTGATCCAGTCACTGCGTGCAGCTCCGCCGGATTGGCTAACCCGCCTGCCTCGGTGTGATTGGTCCGCGTGGCAAGAAGCAAACGACACACGCCAGGCTATGCACAGTCTCGGTGTGATTTCGCAGTGTGTGTGTGTGTGTTTGTGGATATGTCGCTATTCCTCACCTCCTGCTTCACAAGCAACTTTGGAAAGAAGAACGCTTTACCTAGAGAGGAGATTTATGAATATTCGTTGGCTGAAAGGCGTCTTCATCACATCCCCGCGGCCTCTGACCCTGCCGAGGTATCCTCCGAACTTATCGATCGTTTTATGGCACGGTGGGGCAAATGCAGAAGCTTTAGGTGGTCAAGACTGAATGAGACGGGCAGACTGTCACTGTGGGATAGGATAGCAGGGTTAATTGGTCGACAGGGCACCCCTCTTCCGTGAGTTTTTTTCCATCCTTTCAGTTGATGCCTCTAACATCAAAAAAGCGAATTCCTGCGGTCTTTACCTCCTCATGTAAATGTCAGAATGGAATTTTCTCTTGATTTTCTGATTGTCAGAGCTAGGCCAGACACAGGATGCATAGAGGCCTAAGTAATAGCTCATTTTTGGAAGGGGATTATCTTCTTATACACGCCTCTTCTATGCAAAGGGAATTTTGATGTATTTTGTTTAACGGGAATAAGAGTCGCTTCTCTTATCTGTTCTTCTTCCTCTCTTCCTGAGTTACTCTCGAGGAAACAGGGAAAAATAGAGCGCTTGTGATTGCCTCCCCCTTCGTTAATATAAAGAGTTGTTTAGAATGGTCCCCTGCTAGACGACGAAATCCCTGAGTTACTGGAGTGGATTACTCTTTCGTAGGCTCAAAAACACGATCTCACGAGACCTCACTGAACAGATTCCCTTTGACGCTTTACTCTCCCACAACTTATTGCATTAGATTTTTTCTTAAAAATTGGTGGAATTTAACTGCTTTTGTTTGAAACGCAAGCCGAAGTAAAAGTGTAAATTCTTTGAAGTCACAAAACCAAAAGCGTGAGTGATGCCAGATTTAACTGCACGAACGGTGATTCGTGGGTTCCTCTACCTCCTAGTTCCTTTGAAGTATGAGTGAGATCAAGGGATATGAAATGAGTTTTGCACTCACAATTAACTATCTCTGAAACTTTGCTAGCTCTACTTGAAGCCCTTGACTTTCACCTACTTTGAACAAGGTAGATGTGCACAAACCTTAACTAACACCAGCAATGATGTCATGGATTTCAAAAAGCATGTATAATGAGTAAAAATATCACTATCAAAAACGTTACAGGATTATTTTGATTCATTCTATCGAGTAACTAAACATCCTTTGTACCGTAATCAGCCCATTTAAACATCGGCGTCTTGACTGAAAAATGATTCACCTGTCAACGCGAGCTTAATTTTATGATTTTAACTCTATTATATGTTGACGATCTTATTTTTTCTACTCGAAAATTTTTGAAATATGTGATAAGAAAAGTGAACATTGCTAAAATGCATCAACTCACTATTCTGGAGGCATCATTAATTATTGTTGGGTAATTCATTTGCGATAACGCAAAAATAATGTCAGCAAAATTTTTTGATGCTCGAAAATCCTTTCATTTTTAGACGGCTTTGTTCTTGTAAGTCAATTTTATTGAATAAATAGGGATGAGCACCTTCAACATAATTGCAAATACTCTCGCACATATTTAAAGCAAAATACCCACCCTATTTGACAATTACCCAGGCCACTAGTCTTCTGAGTGTGACCTACACTGATTAGATTATTTGAAGGTGAAATTATAAAGGATTTCCGTCGTGCGTAGCACCGATGTAAAGACAGCAACAGTGCGCTAGGGAACTGATAGAGTCTACGACAAGAAACAAGGCCTCCTCACTTTCTGTCTTCCTTCCGTTTCCGCATTTGCACCCTTTACAATGCCTCCGTTTGCACATTTTTGTATTAGTCAACGCTACATCAACTGCGGACTTTGAAGCGCCCACGTGGTTCAAAATACAAATTGAACATTTGTCTTATCATTCTTATTTATTTTTTACTCCTTGTTTGGATTTAACCACTTCAATATTCAAAATTTCTTTCAAAAACCAAATCTGCAAAGTGAAAGATGATTCAGCAAAACGAGAGTAACTTTGAGGAAATTAGTAAAGGTAAATGAAATGACCAATCATCAGCACATTTAAAAATTTACTATCCCACTTTCCTTCAAAAACAATAAACAGTTTGTGTTTAGATTTGGTTGTTTATCACTAACAAACTATGTATTCACTTTTCCGCCCTCAGTAGCAATTCCTCTCAGCAGAAAAGTTCCTCAACAAGAAAGACTCGTGGAAGCACCGATGGTTACGTGAATCACGGCTTCTCCGACTCGCCCTCCATCACCACCACTCAGATAGGGCAAATTGCCCCTCCGTTGGCTCAGATAGCCAAGTTCAAAATCGATCTCGCCGGTGTCAAGTCGGAGCTCATGCAACTGCAGAAAGTGGTATGTCGGCATTTGGGTCTAGGGAGGAAAGGGAAATGTCATAGTATTGGGGCGTGCTGACTGCCTTTGTGCTTTGACACATCTATACGAACATAAGTTGAGGATAAAAAGTTCCCTTCACGAGGTCACTTCCAAGCGATCTATGCTGAGAGGAGGTCACTAATACTGAAGCTATTGCATCCATCATTCCGGAAGTTTAAGCATTTTCAAGGCATTGACATTCCACGCCGTCACCTTCCTTTCTATAAATCATTTCATTTTTGTTTCTGTCTTTCTTTTTGGCATTTTAGCTAGCGACAAATGCCACGGCTGAAGGTGGCCTCACCCAAACCGTCTCCGACTACATGCTGTCGGTAAGCTTGCTGTAGTCGCACATCCCTTCTTTTCACTGACATTTGACAACCCTTGACATCCGGTTAAGGCGATGTCGTGATCATTAGTCCGATGATTCAGCGGCTCGGTTCATTGCCACTGAATTGGCGCGAATTGCTCTGAGTGATAAATTGAAGCGACCTGTGCCTTGACATTAGTTCCCGATCCGGATCACGAACACACAAGGAGCGCAGTCTTGTGCCCGCTCGTCAACCTCGACATCCACATAAGCAGTACTCTACCACCTATCTACCTTTTCGTCAAGCTATTATTCCATCCATGATCGCCAATTATTCATCCAGCTCTATCTAACCGCGTGTAGGCCGACCCGTCCATCCATTTATCAGTTCATTCACCCATTGTGACCCCATCCATCGGGTAAGCCAACCAGACAACGACCTCTACCATTTGTTCCAATTCAGGGCGTTTTAACCGACCACAATAAAGCACAGTAACCACGGTATGGGGTTGTTGGACGTCTCCCCGCCCCCACAATCGCAGGCACCTCTTAAGTCACTTTTGCCGAGTATCGGTGAGGCGGTGCATTGCACAACCAGCAAGTACTCATGCTCTTTCACTAAGGTGAAAAATTGAGTCAAGAATTACAGAACTCATGCGCTTTATGACCTCTGCTAAAACCGAAGTACTGCTGTGACCGCCGGAAATGCAACGTCGCATGTGCGCAAAAAAATCACGGCTAACAAACGACTTTACGCCCCTAGAGCACACAAACCGATGAAAAGTGGAGGAATGGAGATATCCAACGTCAAAGGACCAATTCCATCGGTGATGAGACCTTTCTAAGGTTAGTCAACTTCCGTGACATTTATTTGGAAAACTTTATCGAAGGCTGCAAAATAATGAACCAAGCATTTAAAAGTTCTGCGACTTTTACTCATTTGAGGAACTAAGCGTGCAAATGAACCTCAGTCACTTCACATCTAAGCTAAAAAACCGACCAAATTTTAGAATTCATTTCCACACTATTTTAAAGAGGTGCATTACTGCCCCAACCCGTCGTTCACCAATCAAAAAAGGCTGGTGAATGAATAATCGACCTGCGACATAAATCTAACTCCAGTTGGTTTTATACTCAATTTCATAATTAATAAAACTTGTCTAGTTAGAAAGTTTATTTTTGTTAAACCAACTAGTCTTCATCTTTTACATAAATATGTTTTATCTATGTTTCTTAGATCATCTCCTACCACAATTGAAAGTTTGCATCGACTCTTGAAGGCTCGAACAGAGGCAATGGACGCTTGCTTAGTGAGTCGGATGAAAGGCCGAAGGCAGCTTTTATCCCTGACGCTGCTGCCTAGGTGTTTCATCTTAAATACCAGGCTCCTTTGGCATTAGTCAGCCAGGGGAAATGTAGCATTCATATTTGTTTTATGCAAGAAATGATCAGAATTTGTAGCCAAAACTTTGCGGCAGGGAAGACGCGTGGCCTTTCAGAGATAGATTCACAGAATAGTGTAAAAAAGGACCCTACTATGACAAGACTTTGATTCTGAAAATGTAGCGAAATATATCGGCTTTTAATGGAAGTGGAGTTTCATTACCCCTAACATTTGATAAAGTATTGATCAATCCTATATATCGTTTATTTACAACACTTAGTGATTTAAACGAGGGAGGAATAGGTCATTGAATCAGTAATAGAAAGCTTTCTTATGCTTTTAACGGTACTAGGCGATAGCATAAAGTGACTTTGGGTTTAGCATTACGCCATCCAATTTATTAAAGCTTTACATATACGGTGTCATTTTTTTACTGGAACTACCTACTTAAAGGGCTTCCTTTTAAATTTTGACTTGTCGGTTTTTGGATTTACTCTGAAGCCGGAAGTAGTGGCGTAGAAAATTATTCCTGCTTCAAAAATTACCAATGTGCACTCGAATGTTGGGCTAATAATTTAGTGGGCCTTATTTTTGTTAATTGCGCTAGCGTTTAAATTATATAGTTTAAAACGATTGGGTCACCATTTGCGTGGCTAGTACGTGTCTGAAAAGGTTAGTTCACGGCATTGCTCATAACTTACTCGGGTAGTCTAAGAGCAGGAAGTTTCTTTTTTCCAAAATGACAGCTTTTATCCCAAAATATTCCGACCAAAATCTTGTTTCGCTATCAAATTACACGTCCACGTAGTTAACGCTGCTTGATTTGCTGTCTGTATGCGAGCTGTTGAAAGGGTACATATCATTTGAGATACTGAGTGTCATGGATAGACCGCTTTCTGCCGCCTCGACTTGCATTCCATCAATCCCTGCGCCTGCTTTGATCGAATGTCTCAATTGTGCATATGATCACCCCGTAGAATTCCTATTCTTTTTCAGCATCTCAAGGCCCCATAATTACGCAACTTAAGAGTCTTGTTTAACCTCACCTTTTTGAAAAGAACCAAATTTACGTCACTCCGGGACCAATACCATACCCCCCATTTGTACTGCGTCTTTCCTTCTCTTTTTTGGCACCTTGGGCAATAAGGCCGTGGATACTTCTGTTTGGCAACAATCCGAGCTTACCCGATTTGAAGGGCGTTTCCAAATAGGCAGTAGTGGATAGAATGCTAAATATTTGTCGCTTTCTCTATTCAATTCCCTAAGACAGTAGATTCTTAATCGTTTTGCCTTGTTCCTCTCTGGGATTCCACCCCTACTCTTCCAAATTTAAACATTAAAATACAGAGAATTTGGTGTTTCCCCTCTGAGAGCAGCAACTATTTTCCTCCTTGACAGATTGACAATGCCGAGCTTCGCCATGCCGTGGGAGAGTTGACAACATCGCTAAAACGCCTTAAGACGGAGAACGAAAACCTTCGACAGCGAGTAACCGGTAATCCCACCACCATCGTTCCCTCCAATGGCCCTCACACGTGGAGTTTCAGCTCGGAGAGCATCCCCAATACGCCGTGCAGTCCATTGGACACTGTTCAACAGACAAATTTTAGACTGGACAATGGTCAACCCTACTCCACGTTGTCGTACGTCTTGTTAGTCAGTGTTTTTACTCAGTGGCCTATAAAGTTCGCGAAATTTTCCCGATTTTGCATTTCTTTATCAAATAATTCAGACGTAATGTTCTGTGAAATGAGAAACAGCATTTATCGGGACTCAGCAAGTGGTTTGACTTGTCACTGCCCATAAGTTATAGCAAATATATGTTATAGGTAAGAATCTCAGTCTATCGTGTCTTTTTCCGGCTTCAAGATCACAAAACGACGTCGAATTAAAACACCTGTAAATTAACACCGAATAAACTGTCAACGGTTGACTAGCGTCAAAATATAGACTTTGACTATTTTAGAATGCTACATCTTTTATTTGCTTACCGCAATTCCCCCAACTTTTCAACGCTTTTTTAGCCCCCGAGTTTCAGGCATTTTTTTGGTATCTCATTTTTAGCATTTTTTCGACTTGAGCTAATAACTCTTCATTATTTGAACATAATATGCTCAAAGTGAGATTTCAGATTGTATATGAGTCCTGGTTTAAGAATTCGCTAATACTTTTCCGGGCGTTTTAAGTAATCCAAACTTCGAGTTTATTGGACAATTCAAGGTCAAGGCTGTGGAACTCCCGGATTTGGTACACCTAGTGATGAGCACCGTTTTGAATCACTTAGATTCTTATGTTTTCTTGTTTCTGTCTGGCTGACATTATTCCCGATCAAATCTATTTGTCGCTTGGAGAAACTTGAGTTCTTTTGTTAAAACGGGCAAAAACGCCTTTTGGGATTAGCTGGATCGGTTGAGAAGAATTTTGGAGGATAATTTGTCATACAATCGGTGCATTTATGGTTGATATGAGCCGCAGGATGAAGAGCTTTGCAGTCTTTTTAGTTGATCTGAGCGTTCAAATGGCAAGCGGTATTTGTATTAGCGTGGAGTGAAGGACTGCTCTTTCCACAGATTCTCCGTCAAAATGCCTTCGGAACTTTGCAAACAAACTGGAGATTTGACAAGATCAGCAGTCTTTGAACCCTTTGCAAATTATAATAGGCACTTTTCGGTACATAAATAGACTCCAACATGTACTTTAGGATGCGTGGTGATTGTAATTTGAGTCCACAAAGTACTCCATAGGTGACAATTGCCTGGCCAATTTAGAGTTTTCAACGTTTGGCAAATTTACCAAAATAACTAATTTCGAGACAATTTACTTGGCTCCGGAAACGCTGACTACTTCTTTGTCTTCCTGTTGTTTCGCTTAAACCCGCATTAACTGTTGTCGAATATGCCACAACCTAAATTACTTTTAAAATTAGTCAAGGAAACATATAAAGCGCACCGATTTATCGAGGTACACCTGCTCACTGCAGAGCATAAACTAATGGTTTTCATGTGCCTTCATGCTACGCGCTAGACTTTTTGACCAAATAGGGAATTTGGTGTGGGAGTTGCTACACTGTCTAGGCGATTTCTTAAGCTGCTGATAGTTGAGGTTGCATCAGACGAAGGAGTCCTCATTGCCTCTTCCATTCTGCACCGTCTGTTCATTTTTAAGTCAAAAGATCCCTTCCATAAAAACCCTCTCCCTCTTATCAATTTCCCGCTAGGTGATTTCGTTAATATAATGCCAAGACGTGTCGATGACCACTCAAGTTTGATTAAGGATGAGTGGCACACTGTTGCGTTATCTTCATCCTAACCATCCTAACTGAAGTGCAGATCTTCTCAGCAGTAATTTTGCAGCCCTATATATTGCGTGACCTTGTTTTATAGGAATGGGAATTCTTGCCTAATGACACATTAATGCTACCTGTTTCTGAAGAAAAAAACCCGGGAGCAAATCAGGTTGATATGTGGGAGTCTTTTAGGCAAAACGGAGACCTTAGGCTGACACTCATGAAAACGCGCGCTATACTACTGTCAATGCGCGTATAGGAAAATGCGAGTGCGTGCCTGAAAAAATTGTACGACTAAGTACCCAGTCGAGTGAAGGGTTAAATTCAACAACTACATGAACCTACAGAAAAATTTAAGAATAATTTGCATGCTAATGAGCTACCAAAGAGAAATGCGACATGTTAACGGCACAGATGGCCTGTCATATGTCTAAAAGAAATAAATCCTGGAGGCAGTAGTGTTCACCTCAATCACAGCAACAAAATAACCTATGGCGAATCTGTATGAGACGGACGTACTGATGAATGCCGTTAAAACTAAAGAAGCGCCACCGAAGACAGTTCCTGGATTGTGCAGCAGTAGAAATTTAGATAAACTTAAATGAAAACATGGTAAATAATCATAAAATTTAAATTCGTTTACGCGAGGCAAGAAGATTAGGCTTGACTTGATCCTATATTCTTTGAAATTCCCAATAATGTTGTTATTTTTGAAATTTTACACTAGGTTAAGATTATAATCACTCTTACAAAGGAGATTCGACTTTTTCCAAATAATTAGAGGCTACTTCAATCCAAGAAGAATCTGTGAGCATCAAACAAAAAGGTTTTAAAAATGCAAAATTACCCATTTTCTGGAATTTTAACCGATTTGGTTGCTTCCAAGGTTAAATCATCGAACATCAGTTCATATCAACAATCATCAGAAAAGGTAGAAGGAGTTTTTTGGATGCTGGAATTTAAGGCTTGCTGCACTTTTTATTTGAGAGTGTTAAATATTCTTACGACAGCATTTTTAAACTTCGTGGCCAACGTCAGGAAAATACAGCAGACCTTCCTTCATTGTATTAGCGATATACTAAGTGAAATCTGAACAACCAAATATTGTGTTGTAGTTTTGCTGATACCGACGCTTTCTTTTTCAAAAGGTGTTCCCTTATGTGGGCATATTTAAGAAACATTGATGTTTTGCAAAGCTGCCTGGCACAGTTTCACATTGTGCACGGATGGTAGTCGTGACACGCCTAGGCCCTGAGTGGGTCTAGCAAGAATTTATCATTTTTCATTGACATTCGGCCTTCAAAGCTTGTCTAGATGTAGATAAAAGGACTTGGATTCCTACGACCCAGCTTCTTCAGTGCATTCTTTAATCACAAATGTAGTTTAAAATAAGTAAAAGCGCTATAGCTATTGTAGAATATGTGTAACACTTCTTTATTACTGCGTAAGAGTTAAATAACACATGAGAAGTGCATCGAAGAATTATTTCCACGCTTTAACGAAACGATTAAAATTGAAACGGAAGTAATCAAGACAACAATTCACCTTAGTTTTCTTGGTTTTTTAATAAGCAACTCTTTGTTCTGCATTTGCGACGTTAGTAAAACGATCTAAAACCAGCTCACTAAACAAACTTTCGAAAAGTAAATTTAAACGTTAGGAAAGCTTTGTTGCATTTGGGGACCCGTTTAGTCGTGTATTTTGTTTATGGTGTTTAGCTACGGCCATAACACAAAATAAAGAAATGCGAGCACCATCGGAGATGTTACGGTTATTATTTTGCATAGAAAAACACTGCACCTTCGAGATTAGAAAGACAGTTTGTTGTTATTTTATTTTTTTTTTTTGTTTTACGCCTCACTTCCTTGATGTAGGGAGTCTTTAACAACATTCAGCGCCTAATTTGTCACACCTGCTCTTTGTGTTCAATGCCATTTGCCAAAATTTAGGTCACTTCCAAAGCTGTGACATTGCTCTTCCATCAGCCGGGCTCCTTTGGCTCTTGCCAATTTCGTACCCCGTTCCATGCTTATCAGCTCCCTGAAGTTACTTCCTTTTTCCTCTTTTCTAGATGACGGTACAATTGCCCCACACGAAGGTGATGCCCCATCAAAGTTGTCGCCGGCACAAGGTCTTTCAAATTTGTACACATCTATTTAAGAATAAAGTGGCTTCGTCCATTCACCCCCATTCCCCAAAAGTAGAAAAATGCACTTCTTTGGTCCGCATGGTTCAAAGCATTTCCCTCTGCTTTTTCATCCGTCACCCCGTCTACTTATGTGAATATAAGTAGCGCATAATAGGATGCCAATGTGGTCTTCTTCTTTCCACTTCTTAAATCCACCACCCTCTAGGCCATCACGGGTTAAAGTGTGGCAGGGTGGTTGATTAATGACACATCAAAAGAGACAGTGGCAACTGTCTACCCTTCATGTCAAGTCTGAAGGTAATGATGGTTCGACAGGAATCGATGATTGCAAGCTCTTGGTTCTGCACTTGTGCTAGAGATGTCTGGTGCCCCTGGAAAGGCACTTGTTTCAATTTTTCAGAAGTTTCCATTTGCGGTGGCTAGTGCTCCAAACATTGTGCTGCGAGGGCCCTCGCTCCACTCTGATTGGCCGTTGTCAAGGTCAGAGTTAAGGTCAAATAAAAGCAACTAGCAGACGGGAGTGGCAGGAAACTCTACTTCACCAGTGCACATCACGTATGCGCATACCATCGGACATGTCAGCTACTAAAAATATCTGCATTTGAGGCTTTGTCAACTGATCGGCTACTCGGGTTGGGAACAAAGTACAGCCCGCAAACACCAGATTCCTAAAAATAAAAATATCCCTCTCAATCGTTTCCCGACTGCCTCGTGCGATTCGCATGCGATCCCTTGATTGCTTAACGCGAAGAACAGGCGATGATCAACTGAAACCTGGAGAAGCCTAGGGAGTGTAGGTACGGGAACGGCATGTCACCACCCACCTCCGCTTTCTGCCCAGACAGGAAAATTCTCTCATGGTTAAGTTTTGCAGCAGCCAACCGACTCATCAGTTCCGCTTGTTTCTCAAGAAGAGTCAGCAGATGGAAATCAACTTTTTCGACTAACCCAGCCAAATAAACTCTAGGTTGAATGTCGGAGATGGTTAACAAGCACCCGCTTGCAGCCAACTTTGGAGATCATCCAGGTCAGTCGTGTGGGGCCTCGTCACTTGCCTGTTTACCCACTTGCCTGCCCCTTCTATTAAGACGGAAACGACACCCAACTGCCGACTGCTGTCGATTGCGGACGATTCCCAACCCAGATTAAGTGCCACGATTAAGAAGTAAACGATAGACATGAAGACCTCTCCTGCAGTTGCGGAACAATTCTACTTGGGGATAACCAATCGCAAGATATTTTGGGAACAGAATTTGCCATTAAAATGTATTTGCCTGCGAGAAATAGTAAAATAAAGAAGTTACACCAAAATCCACGAGATAAACGGAGCCGCAGCAGTAGCGGTTGAGTATAACCATCACAGAGACGCGCCTATCAGGCCATGCCGACGACACGCAGCACGGGCTACCAAAAGGGCCAGAATGGGATAAGATCACTCAACTCCTAACGGTTTAGTGGTGCCCAAAGCCCACCAGACGATTATTCCAGCTATTACTTTTAAGCATATCAAGATTTGTGCCACTGCCATAGTAGTTCAAGTAAACAGCTCTTCCTTAGTTGCACATACCAATTAAATTCAGATAGGCAAACTATATTATGGCAAAGCTTAGAGAACCAAATAAAATTGGGTATAAAAAACCTAGTGAGATCAATTTAAATGCCAGGTTGATTCCTGATGAGCTCAAAGTGACATGACCCAACTAAAGAACAATATGTTTATGGCAGACGTTGATTTCAGGGATTCGGATACAAGTTTACAACCGGCAAAGCAGTAAGCTTTTCTTCAAAGTGACCCTAGGTAGAGGGGATGAAACATTGATAAGTTGTCTAAAAAACGATTGGCCCCTTCGTTAGAATGCAATCCGGTCGTTCTACCTCCTCAACATCTTGAAGAATTTCAGCGGGCGGGTAATCAACGACAACGGAGGAACCCGGATTAACAAGTTCTGGCTCCTTGTGTTGCAGCACTGGAAACTGAGTCATGTCTACACCTTTGGCATTGAAGACTTTGTCAAGTTTTTCTAGACTGTCCTTAAGAGATTTGATTTGGGCTTGCGAAGCTTCAACAAGGCCCATTTCAGCGGTTTTAGACTTTCCTTGGTATTCACGCAGTTTTTCAACGAATGCCCGCTGAATGGGGTCTGCAACTGGTTGAGTAGCGAATGTTGCCCGCTGAGTGATAGAAAAAGCGCGACTTGCGAGTAGTCGACTGCAGCGGAGAGCACTCATCTTGTGGTAAATTCAAAGACGCGAATCACAGATAATAAGCATAGACTCCTTTCGGGTCATTTACTAATTTTAAGTCACCTAAAAAACGTACCATAAGCTGATTACAAAAAAACTGCACTACAGATGCCAATAAATACTTTTTACAAATTGTGATACCTATTTTAAAAAGGAACTTTAAACACTACTTGGTATAGATATGCAGGAGCATATTTTGGAGCTATATTTCCTCGTTTGAGATACATTCAAAAATAAGTGCTCAAATTAATTAAGGATTTGCAAAACAAGATGTGGCTGCAGATGGTGTTTCATTGACGTTATTGAAGTCCCATTAAGCGTCACCCAATTTTCCGAGTTGTTTCGCATGAAATGAATTTTTCGTTTTTTTTACTCGAAAAGTCTTAACAATGTTTGCTCGAAAAATATATTTTGCCGTTATATTTTACCTGTTAGGATACGGCTCTTGCACACCATACTCCGAAAAAACACTGGCTTTTCTGGTGAGTTATTTTCGGTCATAAAATAGCAATGTCTATCTTCTTTAGAGGAGAGCAAAGTTAAGTACTCATGATAAATGTTATTGAAAAATTTGAACACAGTTAATAACCCCCTTATAACCTTTATCGCTATGACAACCCCAATGATAAAAGCGCTTTCTCGCGAGATTTTGGCCTATCGCACACGTTTTTCCTCCTTGACAAACGTCGCTCTTTACACGTTATTTTCTGCACTTTTCTACTGCATCTCCTTGTCATCAATTTAACAATGCCAGGTCCAGTCAAAGATGTGGATTTAAGACTTGAAAGTTACAAGGATATGCCCAACATTCAGTCGCTCATGTCTATAGTTAAACCGGAGTGGCCATTCGACAAGCTTCAATTTAAAGTATTTTTTAGCTTTTAATCATTTACATAAGCTATTCAATGAGGGTACTTCAAACATTCTTCTTGGTGTTTTTCTCGAGCAACCACTCACGCAGGAAAACTGCGTCCTGGTACGTATTTTCGGCTATCAGACAGAACTTTACATCGACAGAGATCGGGAAGCCATTTATTTGTGGATTCTTAATCAATTGAACTTTGCCAGCAGAGTCTTTTCTAAATTCACCAATGGGATCTGCTACGGATACCTGCCGGGTTCAACCGTTACCTATGAACTTCTTTCTGAGCCCAAGTACTTCAAGTGAGTTGGTTTTAAAGGATAAATTTACTTACCTATTCGCTGTCTAGAATGGTTGCAGAGAAGATGGCTGGGTTGCATACACTCCCAATCGATGAATTCGCGGAGCAGCACTTCTCTGATGTTGGATTTATCTTCGACACTAGTCCTTGTGTTCTGAACTCAGCTTTGAAGTTTATTAGCCTCATCTCTGATATCCTCTTGCCTAAAACAACTGCAAACTGTGCTGGTGACGGGGTTACTGATAATAAGTTTGCTCTTCTTCCCCTTTATCTCATTTGTGTAGTTTGAATGAGGTGTTTCCGACTAAGGAGTACCTAATAGAAGAGGTTTTATTCCTCCGAAAACTTCTCTCAACAGCAAAATCACCTGTGAGATTTTGCCACAATGACTTGCTTTTTGGAAATATTGTTTTGTCAACAGACAAGGGTACCCCTTGATTACCATTTTTCTCATGTTCACCCCTTTAGGTTCAATTCATTTTATTGACTTCGAGTACTGCGGCTACAACCATGTCTGCTATGATATTGCCAATCACTTCTGCGAATACACGGGTAAGTCTTCGTTAACTCCTTCTCTTCTCATTTTTCTCTCTTAAATCAAGGTATGGCAAATCATGATTTTTCGCGGTATCCCTCGCGCATACTTCAAGCCGAATGGGTCCGAACGTACCTTCGTGCCTTCAAAAAACACTCGAACTGCACTTCAACTGAACTTCCACCCATCGATGCAGATGAAATTGATGCGTGGCTAGACGAGATTCAAAATTTTACTCTCGTAAGCTTTCGTTTGTGACTTCTAATTGGCGATGAGGAGTTAGTGGAAGGGTGGAGTAACTTAGAGCGCCGATCAGTCTCTTACCCCATCTTATCACCATGACCGGTTAAACTTATTCTTGTAAAAGGCAGTTTTCAAAGGGTCCTTTCACGTCCACCGAATCGTTTATGGTTTATTTTCCCAGGTCTCAAATTTAATGGCCCATAAGGCAGAGCACAATAAACTACGTGGAGTTTACTATTGGAGGCAATATCAAAGCGAAGTTTTGGCAGAGCTCCAAAAAATAATTTTATGATGTTCTTGGCATGATTATACGCTAGTTACCGTAGCATGCTTTACTATGGGCGTCCAAGTCAAAGCTGGCCTGAATGTCAAGCATTTTAAAACTTTTCATCTCAGAGCTCGACTGACACCCGTAAAGAAGCTTCGGAATGGAAGGTCTTGTAAGTACGGCTGTCGTTGGGGCTGCTGCTACAACGTGTATGCATTCACCGTTGCAGCCGCTACTACCCATTTTGAAGACTGGCGTCTGGAATGAGCTGGACTAGCCTCACAGACCCACGTATGACGTGTGCGTCGATTTTGAAAGGGGGGGGAAGGGGGATCCAGTAGTAGCACACACACAATTCTAGACACTCTCCGTGACTGTACCATCAAAACGTTAACATGCGTGATCTTGGCAGGTAGTCGGGTGAATGTTTACGCAAAATTGTGTCTGAACAGTCTCAAAATGCAGCGAGTGGGCTGCCAATTTCCTAGATCGGGGTTATCTTAAAGCTCGATTTTGAAGTGGTTTTTTTTCTTTTCAGGAGGGTTGGAGACTTTATTTCATCCCCCCCCCCCCTCCTCACTCCCCTTTAGGCGCCTTCTTCTGCACCTTTTAGGCCTCTCACCTCTACTGGGGCATTTGGAGTATTGTGCAGTCACAGCGGTCCAAAATAAACTTCGACTATACCAAGTGAGTCTGTGTTTATTATTATGATTAACCCCGTGAACTGTTGTCCTTGCGTTATTCACTGTCTAGCGGCGGAGAGGGGGTGGAAAAATTGGGGGCTTTCTTCCCCGCCTTTTCTGTCGCGTAGATTGTTTGCGGGTTTGAGAATTGCAATCTACTAATCTCTTGATGGGTTTGCAAGCCACCATACTCTGTCCCCTGAGCTATTTGACCACGCCTAAGTGAACGAATCTGAAGTGAGCAGATGAATCCGTTTCCTTGCCGTCAGGCGGGCCTGCAACCATTGACCAAAGTGCTATACCATGCAGTTGTTAGGTAGCCCCACCACCGCCGTCAAATCGCTGCCTGCACTACACTGCGCATAGACTCGTTCCGCAAATTGTCTCACACTCAAGACAGTTTGGCGCTGACGAAAGGATGACTTTTATCACCTTCCACTGTAAAGTAAATCCTGTGTGCTTACCTGTTTGATTGCATGGGCTCATGTATATCACCACTTCCACACTACCACTGTCAGTAAGCCTGATCCGCAGACTAGGCGATCCACCCCACCTTTAACGCCTGCTTGACTGACTAATCTACCACGTCATTGCAACTTTTTAGATATGCTCTAACTCGCCTCAGCGAATACAAGAAATTGAAGGCCGCTCTGCTTAACTAAGTGGTAGGGATTTTTCATATTTATAGCTTTTAAATTCTTCCCTCGTCTCAATTTTCATTGGTCAATACCTTTACCGACCTTGATAGACCAATCGAAATGGCGCTTGACTTGATTGGTTTGTTAATATCGATTAGTTTTTTTTTACGCCACCTCATCAAGACTTCCCCTTGCACATAGCAATAAAAAAGAAACAGTAACACTAATTTGGAGTGTCCAACCCCTTCCTTTTAGCTACCACTTTCGTGCTGTGATAACTGTGGTCTTTCCTTGCTTAAGTTTGTTTCCCGCCTTGTTGTACAAGTAAAATCAGTGTTGATATTTGTCAGTATTTAATAATAAATGTATGCGCTTGTCAAAAGCCATCTTTCACTCTTCTCTTCCTCCCTGATTTTCCACTCCTTAGCCTGGTCTCACATTTCTTGAGAGGCACTTTCCACTTTCAAGTAGAATTCGCGGCTCTCCTCTTTTTTGCTGCTCTGTGATGTTCCTATTCTCCTCACGGAGGGTCCTCCATACGGTTGTAGTCGTTAACCGAAGGGGTGGAGTGAAGTTTATGGTATCGAAAACCTGATAGGCAAAATTGGTGGGCCATCTCCAATCTATGAATAGGGGATGAAATTTATCATTAAATAGCACCTTCGCTAAGATGCTACAAAGTTCGTTTTTTTCGTCTGGGCTCGGCACCACAAGCATGTGATACCACGTCTTTATCGGTGCCTAGCGAATAGTTCGGTTCTAGTCGTTGAATAGCCTTTGAACCGGTCCGGAGCGGAGGGATGAGATATCTGGTGGTAGATTATCCGAGGCTGTCGGTTAATTTTTTCTTTTTCAAACAGCAATGCTCATCGCATTCACCTCTGGTCCGTCTGTTCGTTCCCCCGTAGATTAATTCCTCCCTCTATCCATTCATTTGTGTCCATACTTATCATTTCCGCCGATGTGGCCATCTGATCTTGAGGAGACTGCTTTCTCGTTTAGTTGCCACATCATTGGAGGTCAGAGAAGAAGAGGTCCGCCTTCAAGAGTCGATGAGCTGATGAAGCCTCTTTCAAAAAAGAAACGTCATCCACCCTGTTCAAATGTCAAATCACCCCAACTCCTCCGCTGATTAATGGCTGTTAGCGTCAATCATGAGAAGGGCACTTCATCATTCCTCCTTTTTATCTGTCTCTGTGTGTAGAAATGTTTACTGAGCGAATAAAGAAGTCATTCTACTTGGCATTGAAATGGTTCTTCTGGAAAACTTTAATTCCACCCTCTCCTCCTGCTCCGGCAATTTGGTGAGAATTGGAGACCCTCGAGGTCGTAGAACTTGCTAGCATCCACAGCGGAGGAACCTCGGCTCGAGCATCCTTGCACAGGCGACTTCGCTTCCTCATCAGTGTAGAAAGGCGTCATGGTGTCCCTTGTGGACGTCAACTTCTCGAAATGTCAAACAGACGCAAGCAACGCCACTGTCTAGACTGTGAACATGGAACTACTACAGCTATGCTCTACACTGACAGGCAGAGATGCCAACATCCCATTGCCATGCCGTAGTGGTCTGAGCAAGTGGACATCCATGGATTCCAGTTGCATACAGCCAGGCATCCACTTCCACCTCTGGTTCAGCAAATCTTGGCGAGGAAATGGCCAACACCACTTACAGCGGTTACCATTGGTCGTAGTGGGACGGATTTATACGCCTCCACGGTGACGTCCCTCGTTGGGGATTAAAAAGGCGCAAGTCTAGGCATCACAGTGACACAAACTGAGGTGGATTGGAGATGAACTCCGTAGGGGGCATTAAAGAATATCGCGTCAAAATCGCCTTCCGCCTGGGAACATCTTAAAATCGGTGTAAAAATGATTTAACAATTTGCCGTAATCTCTGCATTGGCTAAGTGGAGGGTTTCGTGGCGCTTCTGCCGCCGTGATTTGAGTAGCTAACTCACCTAACTAGTGCCAAGCCATTATGCGCTGATAAAATAAAGGTGCATAAAAGGCTTTCCCCCCTCGACCCAGCCCTCGAACCCTTCTTTGAATGGCGCGGGATCCCCCACCCAACGCATAGGCCACTCATACCAACCCCGAAGGTGAATTCAGCACTCCAGTTATACCGGATGTTGGCTGTCACATAATAACTCGTACGTCATTGCGCTTGGAGATGTGAGACTGCAGTCTGTGAATAGTAGCGGTAGTGGAGCGCTCCCACCATAATGCACTTATCCATCTCTCTTGGATCGGAAAAAATTGTCCACTCAACACGTCCTATCACTTCCGCGCCAAACACCCACCCCTAATCCACTGAACGCATGCATGCATTTAAGCCCCCAACGCCGACTTCCCCATTCACACCTGATTTTGCAATCCATCCGCGGGTTATTCAATTATTCACACACTCGACCATCTGTTTATCTTCAATTCACCCGCTTGTGTCCAGTGCCTTCGTCCGCTTGTCCAGTAATTCACGCGCCCCTATTTTCCACCCGTTCAGCAATCGTAACAGATGGCTCTTCCTATGTGGTTGCCGGGACTTACGTGACATCCGGATCAATTCACTGCCTCCATTAAGGATCTATTTAAGTGCGCAGAAACGGGAAATTACGAAAAAAGTGGGAAATTACTCACACCTGAGCGAAATTGACCACCTCATTGCAGACTTGGGGGACAGCATCAGGTCTAATCACTTCGCGAGAGACCTCATGACAAAATTTTTTTGACAGGACACCAGCCTTCTAGTGGACTTTAAACTGTGCTAAAAACCTCCTCCAAACCGCCACTTGACCATGTATTTGCAAAAAATTCACCCACAGGTAACTTTGTTGTTCAAGCGAAGCCATGGCAACTCGTTGTAGTCAGTTTTAGCCCATCACCGTTGTTTTTTAATCATGCAGAAAATAAATAGCAAGCAAATTCCGAGTAAGTTGAGCCGCCTACTTGCACAGCTCCTGAATGAACTTCTCGATTTCAGCCTCCTCCTTTAGGCCGGTAAATCGAGACACCTCCTTGCCGCCCCGCATCCCGACCACGGTCGGAACAGCTGCTACCTAAAGACAGAAAACACGGCCTACTGACAACAGTTTAAGTAAACATAAATTTGTAGCATTTCGAGCCTACCTTGAATTGGGTGGCCAGGTCCTCCAGTGAGTCGATGTCGACTTTGGCTAGGAGAACTTTCTCCATGTGGTTTTTCATAACTCCGTTTAATCTCGGTCCAAGCATCTTGCAGGGGTTACACCTTAATGCGAAAAGACACACAGTTTAAAGTAAAACAAGCTTATCCAAGCAGTACGTGGATGAAAGTGGGGGACTTTGTATACGCACCATGTGGCGTGGAAATCAACGAGAACGGGGAGCTCGTTTTGGGTGACCTTTTCAGTGAAATCGGCAGGATCTTGAATATTTACAATTCCGCAATCTTTACCGAAGCAACGAGCGGTGGAAGTGAAATAACGAGGCGTGCGAATTGCGCGAATTCGAGCAGCAAAGGCGACGAGTTTCTGACCCAGCATTTGTGACTATATGGATAGCAATTTGGCGAAGTTAACACTATTTTACAATAATTGACAGAAGCAACAAGTAGTGGTGTGAAATACATTTCTTCGGATTTTCTCCCAAACATTAGTCAAAGCATGAAGTGCATATATACGGGAGCAGAGAAGATATGAACGAACAAAAAAGTATGCCCAACCTCAAAGAAGTTGAAGAATTAACCCACAGGGTTCAGTAAAACCTTAAAACAACGAGCAGAAGATGATCTCAAACATTAATAGTAAGCAAGCATAAATAACGACATGGATTTTCCTTTGCTCAAGTAAAAGGGTGGCAAACGACATTACAAAATCAACGTACCATATAAAATAGCAATTAGGCGTTAATGTTCAAAATACGTCTACGCAAAACATAACCAACCAACAACCTACGTGGCCCCGTAGGTTTTAAAATGCGAGGGGACGGGTTACCTAATATAAGCAAGGCAACACTGGAAATAAAATGCCTGTGTTTCACCTATGTGCCTTTTAAATTGCTAAGGCGATGTGATTAACAAAATTTTACAAGAACTTAGGACATTAAATAGAAATCTTAAAGTCTAAGTTTACACGTGGAATTATGACAGACTCTAAAACAAACTTGTTATTTTCTAAAAAAAACCCCAATCATGCTAACCAACACCTTGTACTTTTGACTTTTTTGTATTTGGACCCTAATCTTGCCTATGTTTTGCACAAGTCTACGGAATATCCGCCTTCAATAAGCTAGCCTTGATTCACTTCTCTCTTTTTTCATCACAGACTTCAACAACAAACTTTTAAGACCCAACTGACGTTTTTTGCTCTAAAGGTGACTTGTGTTCTTCTGGCTGTTACTAGTTTTCCTGCTGAAAACGGAACAAAGGAATTGCTAGCGAATGCCCGATTTACAGTTTGCACACTTCTTTTAGCATGCCAAGGTCTGGCATATATTAATAGACATAAGAAGTGCCCCTAGCACTTTCCGACGTCAAAAGAAGCCATGATGGCCTGGCAGGAATGCTGAGCTGCTAGCGGCCCACAATCTCAAGTACCCTGGATGGAAGTACCCCCCACCCCACAGGCAATCCTGATGGCTGCTACCACGACCCTGAGTCCATGTCACAGCGGAAGTTTGACTTGCAGCGACTAAGATGCCCACACCACCTCTAACATCGAGGTACCGGTAGCCGTGGAGTCAATCAGGACCTGCCTACACCGGCATCCAACCACTGGACTTCCCCGTGGTATTTATAATTTCACGGGCAAACCCCTAGAACACAAGAGAGGGTCGTGGAACCCAAACTAGAAATTGCTACACTCTCCCTCGCGCGTGAAGTACCAACGGACACCCGGATTTGAGTGACCGTTACAATCCCGCTAGCCCAAGCCCGGACTGCACAGACACCCAACCCCCCTGGCGATAAAACCGAAGAACGATCAAGGAGCCCCTCCATGTTCGCCAATCAGGATGTTGCAGGCTCCGAGATCCCACAACAACAAAAACGCTGTATAGATCTGATCACCGGATCTACTTCACCCAATTCAAAAATCAATAACCACAGTGGATAGACCGGCGGCACGGTGGTGGTGGTTGGAGCGATCGCCAACTTCCATCCAAACGACAGCCTTTCATCAGTAGTCTGGATATCCTTCTTATTGACAATAATATACAGCAGCGGACAACAACAGTGTGACCACGATCCCACAAAACATCGCAGCACAGCACTCCACGACACTAAATCACACAACAACGGCGATAGCAACAACAACAACGAAAGAAAATGCAGCACCGCCACTCAGAGCGCCTTCAACGAGACGAACTCCCTCAACTGAGGTGGCAGTGGCAGACAACGAATTCGCGCAGTGGTGCCGGATGATCCCGATCCCCCCAACTGAGCTTGAATTCGAGCTCGGCAGAGACGCTTCAATGAGCGTACATTTGACTCCTCCTTGTGGAGCCAGGCGCTGAGCCAGGCATCTGATTGGCCAGGCGAGGAGACTAACGAGGACTCAGACAGTACACCGTGCTGCATCAGCCATCGGGTAAATGCGGCCAGGTTGACGGGGTCGCAACCATGGCGGAGCAGGAGGCGAACCTGAAATGGAACACTATGGCATCACGCGACATCTTGGTGATATGTAGCTACAAGCTGGACGTCGCGCACCATAGGTAGATCGAGCTTCGGGAATTTCACGGCCATATGAAGGGGTCCAAGACCATCTTTATCCGGTCGATTAACAGCAGCACCGTGGGAGAGTAATTTTGCCGCTAAATCGAGATGACCATGAAGCACTGCGGCGTAGAGTGGTGTCCGCCCATTCATCTCCGCCGCATTGACATCCGCATGGGCCGCAAGCAGTAAAGACACAATATCCGAACGCCCGTGGTACGTGGCCACATAAAGCGGTGTCTTCTGATGTGAATCCGCCTGATTCACCTGTAGCAGTGAAGTTCAATTTGTTGAGATGTCATTTATGAGTGAGGTGCTCGTTGATAAAATTGCCACTAACCTGAGCACCATGCCGTAATAGGGCGTTGACGATATTCAAATGACCGAAATTTGCAGCAATGTAGAGAGGGGACTTAAGCTCCTTATTTGGGATGTGGATGTCGGCGTTACAAGTGAGAAGGTAGTCCACAACTGGAGTATGACCTCGACAAGTTGCGAGGTAGATAGGCGTTCGTCCGAAACGGTCCTAGGTGATAAAAAGGACGGGACGTATCAATGAGGAGCTTTCAGATCTATCCGAGACTTTAAGCCAACGGAAAGTGCACCCACTTTTTCCACATTCGCAGAACCTTGCACGATTTTGAATACACAACGGTATTTTTAGAACTTTACATCCCCCCAAAAACGAGATCTGAAACCAACTGACCTGAAGATTTAGTATATCATAAGCCTTTTTATCGGAGAATTCAAGAGCCTCCTCCAGCAAAAATCGAACAGTCGGGACAGCACCAACGTAGCAGGCGTAGTGGAGGGCTGTCATGCCAATTTTATCGACCGCGGAGATATCGCAACCAGCGGAGACAAGGGCGAAAACCATCCGAAATCCACTCTGACCCGCTTCAGCGCAGAGCATCAACGGTGTCATGCCTGGGAGAGGATCAAGATATTCCATATATCAGTAGGGTAGGTTTCTTGATACACAGTTGCATTATTCCAAATAAGGCCTTCTGCATAGATAAACTCAACGACTGCACTAAATCAAGAGGGCAAATATGACTTCATTTGCCCGCTTACCAACATTATCTGCCTGATTCAAATTGAGACGAGATGGAGGAGGCTTCACAATGACCGGATGGTTAGAAGCGGCGGAGGAGGAGTCCGCGACGACTTCTAGTGAGGTGGTGTTTTCTGGAAAGGGGAAACACTTGCTCAAGGTGTAAAAGCTACGGATTAGCGCTAAATGTAACACTTGAGGGGAACATATTACAGAACAGACCTAAAATGCTTCTGAAATGAAAAAGGTGGGGAAAAAGGAAAGTTTAGGGATAAGTGGCTTGCGACTGATAACTTCCTAATGATTGTTTTCTAAGTTCAAATGAGCTCCATCGTGGAGCGGCCCAAAGGCAATGATGTGTAAGAAGGCAGGCGTCCACCCGGTAGTCACCAAAGCTACTTACTCCTCTTGCCTCCAGTCATCAATCCTCGAAAACTCGAATTCCTTCCCGTCAAGGAGTTGAAATTCCACACCGACGTTGCCGACAGACAGTTCCGGAAGTTAGCCGAGGGTAAGAGACGATTGCAGTGTTGCACGGATGTCGTGTTGTCCGTTGTTGACGCCGTATTGGCAACGGTGATTGTGTTGGACGCAGCAGCGGATGCGGAGGCAGTGCGAAGGACCTTGGAAGTCCACCCGAACCGACGATTGGGTGAAGAGGCGCTGGAACCAGAGGCCAGGGCTAATGAGGTGGTAGTGATGATGTTAAGAGAGGTGTCAGTGGGAGTCGATGGGATGGTGGCGGCTGCTTTGGACTTGTGTTCGTCTTCGACACGAAGGAGGGTTAAAAGGAGGCCTTCCTTACGATCCTTGGAGGCGACTAGAAGAGGTGTGTCGCCGGCTTGACTCAGAATGTTAAGATCCGTCTTTTCGTGCTGAAGAAGTGAATCGCCGAAAAGACTTTTTAGTAAGAGGGAATTACTCGCGTTCCCGAAAAAAGAAGGAATAAAGTGCGACTAAGGGACAGGTGGGAACTGTAATAACGACTGACGGCCGCGAACGCTGCATAATTTGGGTATTAATTGTGTTATCTTAGGTGAATAGATTCAATGAATATAGAATAGAGAAAAGGATCGAAAATGAAGACTAAAATGGGTAAGGAATGTACGGAGGGCTGAAACACGGAAAGACGAATAGCGGGATGGAAAATGAAAGAATTCAGGAGAGTTAAGCGAATGAATAAAGCAAGATGAAAGGAGAGCTAAAGTATGCCTTGTTCAGGTGGAATTGTATAATCGGCAACGCAACCATTGACGCAGGATGTCGAAGTCCCACCTATTTTTACTGAAATTATAGCGTGTTTCAAATTTTTTTGGAAACCACAATGTTGCTCCACAGCGTAAAGAAGAAAATATCAGCCTTAAGGTAGCTAGAGATCGATCTTTAATTCAATGACCCCGAAAAGTTCGAAAGGCACAGGAAGTGCAGTCATTTCAAGGTATCACCCGTCGCAAGTAAATCGCTCTTTAACATGCACAGTTCTTCCGGAAGAGGGTGTGGTAAAATCAGACACAGCTAAGAATTAAATGCGGAACCTCATGAAATCGCTCTTAGATTCGAAGGAGGAGGGGGGAATAGTGGGACATTTTCATTATGAACTGCACAAAAAAGGGTTCAAAGGTAAGTCAAGATATAAAGTTGCCAACGCTTTTCAGGCCCCATGTGTCAGAAAAAGATAAATCTTGGTTACAAACAAGTATCGAACAATCCAATCATTACTGTTCCAGACACTCACCGATGCCAAAACCTCCCCAATTTCGACAGACGCAAGATGCAGCGGTGCCATACCGTCGTCATCAAGGTTGTTCGGGTCACAGCCATGTTTAAGAAGCACCTTCGCAGTTTCTACATACCTTTCTGCGGACTGACCTGCCAAAAGATGTAGGCAGGATTGACGTCGCTCTGTCAGGGTAGTCACCTTCGCGCCCGAGTTTATCAACTGTTCCGCAATCGCAGCACGACCAAAAAGGGCTGCTTGGTGAAGTGGATAACGCGGACAATCAGAAACGTGGATATCGGCGCCAGCTTTTATCAAAAGCTTAACCATTTGGAGATGACCCAGCTCGATAGCGAGGTTAAGTGGACAGACACCATCAATCACCATACAAGGATTGACATCATTTGGGTAGCTAAGAAGGTATTGCATGCTTTCCAAGTTGTTACTGCGGATGACGCCGCGAATGAGCCATGGTATTTGGACTTTGGTAAAACGGGGTTTGTGGCGTTGTTTAGAGAACCGTTTACCCATGCAGGTTAGTCAGAATGAGGTCAAATTTGATTAGCAAACGTAAAAAAGATCATAATTATCCGCGTGTGGAAGCGACGGACAAAAAGAGAAAAATAAAGACAACCAAAAACCAATGTCAGCCGAAATTCATAGTAGGCGAAGTTTATCCCCCCTTATTAAAACGGGTAAAATATACAGTCGGCCAGTGTGAAAATATTTATGAAGCAGCTTTTATCTATCAATAACTTGTGTTGGGGTAGCAATTAGGATGCATATTGAACCTAATTTCCAGTTTTCATTCCAGAATTTTCGGACCCAAAAAAATACATTAATGTATAAAGCTGACAGATACACAAATAGTTTTTACTAAACAGACAATTTTTTTAAACACTATATGAAATTATTGGTAATGCTTGTTATATTAAAAGACATTATTTAATGCGATAGCTATTTAAAGTACAAATCGTGATGTCAAATATGAAGTGTTACCTTTTACTTAAATTTGCCTAGTTTAGAACCTTTTTAATGAAGTTACATAGGCAACAAACACACACAGGGGAACTTGGTGAAGGTATGTTACGGGGCGCGGAATTCCAGATACTTAACTGAGTAGGACATACAAGGCAACTGTTAGCTGAGTGAAAAACCCCTTTTTCAGTTGTTTTTTTTTCATATATCCCTAATGATTCTTGTTTGTCCACAGCCAGGCATTTCTTCTGAACCTTTTCTTTGCAAATCTATTTATTGGTACTTTTTGTAGTTTGGTATTTCTGTAATAGTTGGAACTAAAAGCTCCTGCACCTTTTTAATTATAAAAAATAAGCATCTGATTCTGTTATGACTACTTCTTTTGAACCTAAATTGGTTTTCCCTTGTGTCCTCACTGTTGGGTATCTCTCTGTGCAGTAGCGGTGCACTGGATCACTGTCCATTTAACATGTGAGGTGTTTTTGCGGGTGATACGCTCTTGAATTTTAGTTCCTTAACTTCTTTTCCATTTTTGAGTGTACTTTAGCAATTATATAAAGTTTTTACCACTTTCTTTATAGATAATCATACATGTCAGAATCCAATTCCCTAAGTGCAGAATATCTGGATTTGCTGGACCCCGCCGACTATGTCTTCGGCCTAGTCCACTTCCCTCCCGGTTGTGACGTCAAACAACTCTTCAGCGCCGCAGCAGAGCCGATGCTTCAGAAATTCTTCAGGAAACTCACCAAGCATCCTGCCACCCCACTACGAAAACGATTCCCTTCACCTCCATCCTCTCAAGTCTTGGAACTAACCTACGAGGGCTCCTCTTCACATACACGGTTGCCGTTTCTCGGTCGTTACTCTAATGGTGGCTACTGCTTGCGACAGCTCAATGTTAAACGATTACAAATATGCCTGGGCAATGACATCGACGGCAAAAATAAGTACGTTCCTCGGGTGCTTCCTTTTTGTGGTTTTTCTCATTTTTTTTGCTATAACGATCTCGTGAGAATGCACTGCACTTTTCAAGGGACGCATTGTAGCGGTTCCTTAAACTTGGGGGTGTTCTTCAGTTGACCTTTCTTCAGCTTCGTCAATCTCATCTGTCAAGATTCCGTAGTAGCACCATAGTCACCGGTGATTACTATTTTGGAAATGCCTGCACTATTTGTCTTTTTGCGATGATGCCCTACACGGAATCGAGTGAACCGTTGGCTGTAATGTGATTGTGGAGTCTCGCGACTATCCAATGGTTTTGGACCTTACGTCAGCATCCGTTACTCGACTCAGAATCTGGCAATTGCCTGTAATATCTGGATGTTTAAGTGTCTACATTGCAGGCTAGGCGCCATGAGAGAGGCATGACCTGATCCTTGATGCTCACGGCCTCAAATGTTAATGGAATTGCCGATGTTTGTTATGCTTAAAGCTGATGCGTCCTCAAACTCACCTATCCTCCAGGCAGCATTTATCAAACCGTAACTCGATCTGGAACTGATTTTTGGCAAAGGAAGCCGTGGTTTTAATTTTTACGGTCACAGAAAAGCTGAAAGGGGGACGGAGCATGTAGTATATCCACATGACTGAATATGGAAATACGTTATCATACCCACCTTGGGACTTTGTAATCCGACGGTTTGTAGGATCCTTGATTTTGCTCGGCTTTGGAACACCTGACGAGCTCATTTTCGCTCTCGGCAACTGTTGGCGGCGTAGACAACCCGTATCAACTTCAACGGAATGGAGGTCATGCGACATCCACCCCAAAGCCATTTGTTCTTCATGCCTGTAAGTTGTCATGTTGAGCTGTGCGAGGAGAATGTAAATGTGGGAAGGAGCCAATTTCACCTCTCCAATGACTACTTCTCTCCGACAAATTGGCTTTAGGTTTGTCTCTCTGCGGTGTGTGTGGCTGCCGAGTGGAACTGCACAAATGAGGGAGGGGAATGACGTTGTATCGAAAGCTGGAAGTTGCGAGGGCACAATTTCTTTTTTCTCGGGATGCGTACATTCTACGGGGCAGCGAAGTTCTCTCATGCAGTCGTAGTCTGTGAATGAGTTGAGAAGTTAAAGAATGGCTGGTTGTGAAATGATCCGCATGTCGCAAAGAATGGGCAAGGCACACTAGATCCAGCTCCCCCTTTCAAACTCGGACGGCAGGTGTGACTGTGATGCGGCATTGTGGCGATGAAGTGACAATACTGCCTGTCAGAATGTCATTTGGAAAAGTCGTTTCCACTACATTGTGATCATCCCGCAAATTGGCTTTTCTAAAGTGTTCGCTTTGTTTCGATAGTCGGTCTACGCATTGACATTTGACCTTCCCCTTGGTTCCACGTCTGACTACTCGGATTGGTTGGTAGGTGGAGTTCCTTTTTCTAACCAGATTGGTGCGTTTTTGTGTTGTTCCTTTTCAGTGTGGAGGGCGATGGAGAGGACGTGGAGGCGAAGGAGGCGAAGGAAGCGGAGGCAGTTTCGGCAAGCAAACGACGCACAAGCGATGTACACTCAAGCATAGAAGCACCTTCAAAGAAACGGAGAAAATCGGAGAGGAATCATTTATGATAATGGCAAGCGGGGAGTGTGTATAGTAAAATCTGTATAGCGCATAAGAAATGGCTTGTATTTGGCAATTTAGAGGGGATCGTATGAAGCTGATGGTGTGCACCCTTCACCTGGCTGGAATTCCTTGCGGATTCAGCCATCTACAACATCTGTCCTCCTCGTATCGGGTTAGAGCTTGCTAGTCTAGTGAAGGAGTCAGGATCGTTGGTCAGTCGGTGGTGCAGTGCCCTAAGCATTCCCTGAGGTAGTGTTGAACTGTGTTAGAAGGAGGAGTCTTTTATTCCTGCTTCGTAGAAGGGCTGGAAGCCCAAAGAGGACTGTTGGGAGGGCCGTGCCACTAGGGAAGGGAAGTGGGGTAGGACGTGCTATTCACGCAAACCGAGATGTCGAGAGGATGCTAAAGTGAAACAGTGTTTTAGGTCAGTAGGGCGTAGTATTTGTTACTAAGGCTCCTTAATCGAGCAGCATTTTTCGCTTATTCCCCCAAAAGTTGAGCCTGTCACGGAATCTCCATCTTTCTGTCTACTTAAACTAGTAGTAGTAGTATAATTGTTGGGGTATTCCTCTCCTTTATGTCCATCAGTAGTAGCTTGGCTCATGAATTCCTCACCAGTTGTGGCCTCGATATTTCTTTATTTGACTAACAACTTGCTAACATGAACTATCCAGTTTCATTATATGAAATCCAGTGTGGGGCTCTACTGACTAGCCTTGTAGGTAGTATGAGTAGTGGGAGAAGTGTCAGCACAATTCCTCAATTGGAGTCATGGGTGCCGTCAATGCTGGTCATTGCAGGTGTGTGCAGAATCGTGGTCCGTCAAATTAAAGCTCAAACTGGAATGAGAGATAAGACTGTGCTACTTAATTCACTCATAAGTAGCGCGTGAGCAGTAAGGCTCAACAAGTACGAAGCCCCCTTGGAAGGCAGGTCTACTACCACTCATCGCCCCTCGCATTTTCCATTTTGGGTTCATGTTTAGCTGACCGCCCGATTCCCCTTGCCAAATAATCACCTTGTCGACAGGATGAAATTTGCCTACCTGTACCAGGTGAATGAATTTAACTTGGCGAGGTGACAGTGCTTGCATAATCCTTCGAAGGCGATGGTGCCGATCGCACGAACCATTCTTACACAGCAAAGTCGCAACTGTGATATTGGTAGTGATAATGCGGTCTATTTTTAGAGGCAGTGGCGTCTTCTGATGCGACTCACACACAAGTGTCTCCTCCAGGAGCTGCGTTTGTGTGACAAGTGACACCGCTGCGCCTCTCCCTTCTTGCCAACAACGCTGCCACAGGCCATGTCACTGCCTTTGAAAATACGGATTCATGTAAGCGTCGCCTTCCAACAGACGCGGGCCCACTCACAGAAGGTCGAAACTGGCGAATTCGATTTGGCTGGAGGTTGGATGCCTGCTCGAATGTGGGCACCACACCAACTCAACTGACTGTGTCTCACCCACCCACTAATAAGGATACTTCATCAAAGAGTCTGCACCGTGGAATAGGCGATGCCATGTCCCCCATTGGAGTCAACTCCACAGAGTGAGTGGCTGAGACAGTTCTGTAGATCCAGTCTCCTCCCAACGCTTCGTGTCGCATGAAGCCTCACGGAGACGAGGCAAACGCCATCTTCTGTGTACCCCCGTACTCTCAAATTATCATCAATGAAAGCGGTGGTGGTCTATGAGGAGCAAATGGGCAGTCGTCAGTGTATATGTGGGGGGGGGAGGGGGAAGGTGGGTTGAGGTGAAGGCGGTGACGGTCCTGTTAACAGTTGCTTCAATCGTTCACTTCGTCCAGAAACGAGAGAAAGGCGTAAATGATCGGCAATGGAATGACAGTACTCTGAAAGGTGGACAAAAGGATGCCCATCAGTTTTGCCTCGCCTCCTGTTGCTAAGGCCGATAAAGAGGAAGAGTTTGTAACTCACTTGTAACAGAAGTGCGGCAATGGAAGTACATAGTAAGTACTTCGAATAGCCTTCACTGCATGCAACAAGCTTGTCCCTGCATCCTGTCCCATTTCCTCCATTACATTCTTCGGGCAAAGACATCGCCCTCCCGACTGAAAGGTGAATTAAGATGTAAATTCTTGCCCAATGAGAAGCAGGAAACGGTCGAAAAGTGTGCCCAAACCTACTGATTTCGTCGTTACCGTTCATGCCGCAGCATCTATCAAAACGCTTTAGGCTGCACGTTACTTCCCGCTGTCATAAAGAATAAGGGAAAGTTATAAAGACAAAAAATTAAACGCGAATTAACATTTTTTTTTAGCCCCCCACCTCCATTATTGCATTCCAGACAACATTTGCCGTTGAGTTATCCCCATTCCTGCCTTTGTATTCCTCAAGCAGCTTTGCAATTGTACCGAGAAACGGAGCGTCAAGCTTGTCAGGATTGGCCAAGTACACTGCCATAACAATGGCTTCCACGAAGAGTAGGACAAGCAGAACATTGGTGTACTGGTAAAAAAGAGGTGGAAAATAGGCATTGTTAGGTGGCTTTACGGCTTTACCCGCTACTGCTCCTCCAAAAAGAAGGCAATTCGCTCAGAGCATCTGTGCACTACAAGCCTTGTGCCAACAGCGCCGGGAGCGTGGACGACCGATGGTTTTGTGTTTAGCAAAACCAAGCACCTCTCGATCGGCTATTCCGCCAAAACCGTTATGCGAGCATCCTGGCTGTAGGCACCAGGGTATGAAACATAAAGATACGAAAATAACAAGGAAGTCGTGATAAATAATTTATTTAATCTACACCAATTTTTCCTTCCCCATCACGACTAAGTCTACTTACTATGTTCAGTAGTATCTTTCGTTTAAACAAGGCAGGAATGCAACCAATGAGACAGACAGCTGTCATGACGAGTCCAACCACGATGAAAGCTGCAGCAGTGTGATCTAGGGGAGACGGAGAAGCATTATCAACCTTTCTCACATTGGAAGGCGGTGCTACATGTCGCAGAAGTTCATCACCCACCATTTTCAGCGGCGAATTTGGCAAGACCTCTTAATTCACTGTCACTGAGTCTAAATCTCTTAAAATAATTCGACATCAACTCCTGTGCCAAGGAATCAGAGGTTTTTAGAGCAATGCCAAACGACGCTATGGCTAGGAATGTCGCCTGATGGAGAAAAGGAGAGAGGGAGGGAGGGAGGGAGGGAGGGAGAGGGAGAGAGGGAGAGAAGAACATGAGCAGATATTGTGGAGGGCGATTGTAAAGGCTATGGCAAGGCTATCACTCACAGAGAGGACGGCACTGGGGACCAGGAGAAGGAAGATGGTTACACAAGACATAACGCAGACGCTGCTGAGGACAAGGAGATAAAGAAGGTGTCGGCAAGAGTTGGCCCTCACCACGGCTGGGCACTGACACAACGCAATGAACTCACCTGAGTTGAAGAGTTCACAAAGTGTGATAGTAGAGCAAGGCGTTGTGCAGGCGGTATTTATGCACGGTAGAGTGGTGGTGTAGAGCAGGCGGCAACACTAAATGTGGTTGGATGCGCACTTGCATAACGATTTATTCGATGGGCCTGCCGAGGTTCTTTCTATCAGCATGTGCTTCTCAGAGAAGAAGAGCCACCAACGTGTGTTCCTGTCGCTTAATTTGTAGAGTTGGCGGATTTTAGTAAGCTCGAGGTTGCGTCATCGTCAAGTGGCAGAAGGTAAGGGGGTGTAATTTAAGACCAACAAGTCCTGTCTCTCATGGTAGTTTGCATCTAATATATGAGCTTTAAAGTTAGTGTATCCATTCCGAATCCATTTATCTATTCCAAAGGCACTTTTAAGCTACTTTGCTTTACATCACCTTCAGAGGTGACCAGAGCACCACGTCAGTGGCAGCACAGCGGAATGATGTTGAAATCTTTCTCTCCTTGGGGAGTATTCGCCCAATAATCTCCAAGCCACTAGAAGGCCTTGTGTCTTGTGGATAGTGTATCACCCTGATTCACTTTGACCTCACCTTTTGGCTCTTGTGTAAGTCAGTAAATTTTTCCCATGCTGGCCCTGCTCATCACTCGAGCTGCTTTAGCTGGGCGAGACAACTACTACTATTAAACTAGTCAGTATGAAGACGCGCTTTAGTTAATTGTTTAATCGACAGGCCTGAAGAACCGATCTCCTCTTTTTCTCTCAGCACTTGTCAACCTGATTTGACTCTCCAGCTAGAGCTGAACCGGACTCAAATTTTTCCGAAACACCCTCGATCTCGATAAACCACACACTACTTATAAGACAGATGAGTAGTTTGGCTTAAACGCCAAAATACTTGAAGGCCACACCGAAACTGACTGCCTATTCAACCCAGACATAAAGCGTTCTACTCACTGGTTAGGTAAGCAAATTCGTCTGCAAGAATAGCAAGTAATTTAAGAACCAATAGTCCATCACATACTGCTGTCTACATAATAAGTAGGTAGAGACCCTCAGTGAGACGCAGTGCACAAAGGTCCGAGAAAATGTGTAAATCAAGTTGGTTTCAGCCAAGAAACCCCTCGGTATGCTCTGTTGAATTAGAAACAGACTTCTAAAGTGTCTCTACAAATATACTCTCCAGTTTCATTTCGTTGCCACAAAATGACCTGCACCTTGAACAAGATTGAATTCTAGGCCGAAATTCACGTTGTTAGAAGCTCCAAAGAAGTCTCCACCTTGAATAGCGTCAAGTTATGGCCATAAGATTAGCTATTTGTCTTATGTATGAAAGTCCTAATCAACTATGTATCAGCTGTTCTGTGTGTTGTGCGGATAGGTTTGCACCTCAGGCGGTGTTGCGTCCTTCATGTTACAGAAGAGCGCGATGTTGTCGTTCTCTCACACCGCAATCCACCTTGACTCCGCCCTGGGACTGCTTTTCTGTGAGGGCAAGGGCGGCAGGACTCACACGGACATCGGCCTGTTCAGAGCAGATAGAGGAAAAGAAGGCGCCAACAGATTAGACTAGTCACGTGTTAGCTTCGAACTGACAAATAGTTGTTGGACAGTAACTGTGAAGGCGTGTCCAAATGTGTCATGGAACTACTGTTGTCTGGTAACCTGGTCGTCCCTGGAAAGAGGAAAGAACGGAGCCCCCTCTTGAACCCTGTTTCGCGTGGATGGTACGTGAGTGTGTGACGAGAGCACAAATTTATCATTATCGAGGATAAGGTTCCTTCTTTAACTCTACCGTAGATACATCATCTTCGGCGTGCCAGATGTCAAACACTCCAGAGGTCTAATCGGTGACGGCTAGGCATTATAACGCACAATGCGTCCATCATTCGCGATCCGAAGTCGGACATCTCATAAGCTGCTAGTGAAGCCGAAAACGGATCTTCGTTTTTTAATACTGCATTTGTGGTTGACAGAAATGCTTGGGTCTTGCTCAAAAATGGAGAAGAATTAGACGTATCTCTGACTTGGAGACGGACAATCTCAGACAAACAGACAGTCCTCGTGTATCTGTGGTCCCTCTCATCCGAGGTCTTAAAACTATTTATCGGTAGAAGCACCTGATCCTCGTTCAGTAGGTGGGTTTGTTTGTCCTTTTCCGTAGGAAATAAAGGCAGAAACAAGTTTACTACAATAGTTGGCTCACAGCTGGAAAGCAGTAAGTCCTTAGTGCGGCTATTGGTTGGATTCAAGGACGGCGACAGCTGATTGGACAATGGATTGAGCACAACACATCAGAGGAACTGGAAAAAATCAGGAATAAGTAAACAATCAGGAGCAGAAAAAAAAAGGGATGGGGAAACAAACATTAGTTTTTTCGTTAAAGTAATTAAAATGGTGAAATAAGAGAAGTGTATGACACTAATGACAAGTGGATTGGAGGCAGAAGGCGAGGGGTAAACATTCAGAGGGGAGAGCTTGTATGCCTGCTTGAAGAGGAGGACCACTGGTGTTGTGTTTATTTAAAAACCGGGTGGGTAACCTGCATCTTGTGAAGTCGCTCACTATATCAGAATGAAGAAAAAGAGGTGAAAAATATCACCAACGAGGTCGTCAAACAGACCACCTTTCCATTCGACCTACCATCTGTGCATCCATCAGCCCTTCCACCTCGACACCCGGCCTAGTCCACAGCGTCTCAGCCCCTCAATGAGCAAGAATTCTACATTTTCTATACCTTATAGCGATTTCGGATAGGAGTAGGGGAGTTGCCTATCCAACGATCGAACAATTTAACCACGTTGATCATTCCGTGGTGGGACCTTGACGGTACTTGCGATCACGTAAATAAGTTTAACCTTGGGATACACCCATTAATGGCTCCATCCGTTAATCCGTTTCGATCCGGAACTGTCTTATGCATGTTTGCAATCTCCGCTGCCAAGGGCCAATTTTCTCTTGTCTTCTGCCCATGAAGTCGACTGTGCAGGGCTGCAGGGGTCCTAAGGGTTAAGAGAATGCTAGTAGGAGTAACTGCTGTGTAGCTCTGGGTTGGTAGCCAATGCCACATTGATCGTCAACTCCACGCCGACGCATGCCTGTCCTTTAAGCGTTTTTCTACTGAGCTGCTAAACCCTTTGTCAAAGCACAAGCAATGCGTGAAGTCTTCCATCGGTACAAGCATCCGCGATTGCGAGTTTTGCTGCTTCGTTCACCAATAGCGTCTGTTTGTCTTCCACCTAGATTCACGGTGATACGTGTATCAGCTACCAGCAATGGGGCACACCTGTACCCCACTGTCGCGCTTGGTAACGCCACAGTATTAAGTACTTCGTCTGGCCTAAAGTGTACCCAATCTGGCCACAATTCTGGTGAAATTGTTTTAAAGAAAGAAGGTTATTAACGCTACCTAAGAGATGATTCCATCACCGGTAGCTGGGAGTGGCGATCGAGGGGGAAGAAGTGGTCAATGGTCGTGCTATCACAGGCTACATTCTTCATTTTGTGTGGTAAGTTGACTGTCCTGTTGTTTGGTAAAGAGATCGTCACGAAACTTGTACGTCAATCGAATTCGACTCTGGGTTACGTGGGCAGTAGACATGTGTGAGTATTTGTGCTTTTGCTGGCGGTGTGCTCTATCCCTATCTCATCTAGAGTCAGGAACAAGTCTAAAGACATCCACCGCAATGAAGTTGTGGATGCACAGCGCAGCGGGCCACCAGTCGGCAAATCTGATTGGTTTAACCTTGAGCCAGTAAGAATGAAGTAATTCCCTCAAAACTCAATCCCTAGAAAGGTATAAAATTCCATGATTATTTTGATTAAAACTATTTTTAGATAGTGCTTTAAAGGTGTTTTAGTCCAGATTCGACGTGCATGGTTCCATCACTTGAACAAAACGAGCAAATTTGGAGTAGACGTAAAACAGCAGAATGATAGGAAGAAAGTTGCCAAAAACATAAAGCCAGTAGAAGGCGAGGACTATGTCAAGGATATGACAGCAGATAAGGTAGAAGACTTCGACCTTGGGACTGTGGATCTCCTGTCAGATCACATTGATAGTATTGACCTCGTCAATTGTGATGTGGGGGCCGGAAGGTAACCCTTCTCATGACTGCCCCCTGTAGCACCGACACGTCCGTCCGCAGATTTCTTGCAGTGACAGAAGATAGAAAAAGACACCGCGCATTATTTCCTCTGTGATTTACCCCCAAAAAACTTATTTTACTGAAGTGGTGCTGGAATGGTACAGAGGAGAGGTAAACTCCTGACTCGTTTACTTGGGAGGCTGTGCAGAGGATGAAGGGATGTCCTGCGATATGTTGGCGTCATAGTAGCCCTAGATGGAAGCATTCAAGGTCCCGTCACCATTTCATATCTTTACACTCTTGAGGGTCGTTCTGCAGTGAGTCCTCTTGTGACACTTCAAGCCAATGAGAAGTAGAGCCCATTTGATCAACGTTGACATTCATTCGGCATTTGAGGCAAATATGAGAATAAAATAAGGCGTACGAGGCTGAGGGTTATGTACATCATTAATTGGTAAGAGAATTAGGGGAAACGGTGTCAATTTGTAGTCTGGAAATGGAGGTGATTCTGGGTGCTTAAATGTCCATCAGCTGTCCGCAATCAATGCAGGTCACCATTTGAAGTAGAAATGGGAAACCTTAAAGCCAAGTCAGTTAGAAAGCCGCTGCCACCGTTACCACTATTATCGAGGATTGGACCCGCTCGACCCGGGCAGAAAAGAGATGAGGCAGTTAGTCAGGCTGTTGAAGTGGACTTCAGCGCAATGAAGATCCTAGTGGATAAATGTGTGCAAATCTACCCCGAAGTGATGGAAGAAAAAACATCAATGGAGAGTTTTCAGCCACCGGTTGTGTCATCAAAGAATCATCCAACAAATGAACCACAGAGTCAAGGCCATTCCTTTATCGAGATGTTCACTGCCATGGATGGTCTCCATATGCCCGATTTTACCAATCTAATGGGTGTGCCTGATGAGGAACTGCTTATGGACATCTTGGTGGATGAATTGGCATTCGCAGGCTGTGGGCAGGATGCCTGTGTTGATGTGGAGCATTGCCTAAACCAACTGCTTGTGGACCTGGAGGAAAAGTCGCTTGAAACGAAGATAAAAGGGCGTGCTACCTTGCCCGTGGTGACAAAACGCATGAGTTCCTTCCAACCCACACAGGCGACTGTGTGTGCTAAACGAAGAAGAATTGACGGGCAGGAGAGTTATGCTCTTTAGGTTTTTAACTACACTTTTTAGAAGAATACAAAGTTTCTGTACAAAACAACGAATTGCCTTATCAGCGTATGCGCAACAAATTACCCAATGCTTAATGCTACGATAAATGCAGTGGTTTTGAAATGATAAGTTTGATTTGATCATGATGCAGTAGCCTAATGAAGGACGAGAAGCTGAAAACCGATAATACTAAAATACCCAAATGTAGAGTCACGCGTCCTTCCCGAAGTTTTAATAGGCTATAGCAAGTAGGAAGAAAAGTAATTTTCCACGCATACACGTCCTAAGAGGCAGTTAGTAAAGACAGGCAGTGGGTCTCCATGTTCTGCATTGTAGTGAATTGCAAAAAATTATTGTTTGCTTAACTCTAAGATTTCGTAGTGGGTTATCAGGGTCACCACCACTGTAAGTACGTAGGAGGAAAAGGACGTCAACTATGCCCTAGGAAAAGAGTACTGTGAACGAGTACTATTTCAGCCAAGGTACTTTAATACGATAGTGGTTTATCCCTCAGTATTGATGAGGTGCCATTTCTGTACTTTGAATTAATTCTCTTGTACCTCGCTGGGTTGGCTGGCCTTTCGGGCCATACCAATAGCCCAGACACCTTCTCTGCGCTGAATATATATTCTGCCCGAGTATTTTGTCTTTTTTCGCCTTCAGGAAGTCTCGGGACGCTACAGTACGCTCTTCATAATATTGTCAATACAGGATGTTTCTGTCTTATTTCTTATTCAAAGAAGCTTCAGGTCGCCACACTTTCACAAAAACGCTTAAATGAACTTTATCATGCAAACACAAATTTCGATGGATACTTTGTAGGGTAACTAACGGTGCAACTACAAAATTTAGTACGTTATTTGAAGCTTTTGGATGATTAGGCGTTTTATGCACGGGAGAGTTATGAATAAATCACTTTACTTGGTTGATATAATATAGTTTTTTAAAAAATTAGCTTGCAACAAAAAAGTTAAAACAGTTTAAAAAGCATTTGCGCGTTAAAACCTAGAATTATTTGGTGTTTTGGAATGCGTTCTAATAAATTCACCTAATAATTCGAACCAATAATATTTGAGGTGGTCATTACGAAAGTGGGGCTTGAGCTATTATCATGTCTTCGTCGATGATGGCGAGATGTTCGAATGTAGAGTCCTTAATTGAGAAGGTATTTGTGTCTTGTAAGCCTGTAGTTCGGTATTCAGATGGAGTCTCCGGACACGGATTTCAGATTCATGGCTCTTAATGACCTGATTATTGGCATCCAATCCGGGTCGCTAACTCAGAAAGTTTTGAGCTGCAGGGTAAGTTAGAAATTTGTAGTGGTAGAATATTTTTTTGAATCTTAATAGCTAGTTCAAAAAACTCTTGAACTTCTCCAAGACACCCACGGAGAGGTGCAAAGCCTGGCAGTCAACGCGTATGTTTGGTCGTTTGTTCCGACTTTCCCACTCTAGCGTTTCGGCCTTATTCCCGGTAGTGGTGGAAGCGCAGAGCATCTCAATTGTGGAGGGGGTAATTGCTGGAATGTATCGTTCTGGTAACGAGCGCTGTAACAGCGTGTCCGTTCTGGGTTAGTTAGTCGCATTCGAATACACGCTCTTGTGTAGCATTAAAATCGCTGGTCAATGCAACTCCTCCGGATAACGTCAAACTCCTATCCGTTCTTGCCACTCACTCGATTCCTTCTCTGGTCGAGGCGGTCTGTAACGATAGCTGCTCTATTCAGGTTGAATGCTGTGAAATCCTTGGACATATGGTTTCGAGGTAAGCCTATTTCTTCCACACCTCCACGACTTTATCCTGATATGTATTAGCTAGCTACGGGACTTTTGCTCTCCTAGGTTCGGTGAACATCTAATACCCTCCTACCCCAACATTCAAAAGTGCATGCTCCGAGCCTTGAATAGTTCGCAACCGGCTCTGCGCAAACGAGCTGTTCAAATGGTCACAAACTTCATTTCCTTTGAAGATACTTACGCAGCTCTACTTAACTTTGTGTCAGACCGATTTGAGAAGGTGATGTGTCAAGCCGATATTGGAGTACGGCTCGATATGCCGCAACCCCTAGAGCAACAGGAGGAACTGACTATATCGTACTTTAAAGTCGCACTTCAGTGTCTCGTTGCATTAGCGTAAGTTATTTTACACAAGTAAAATGTTTTTTTCGGACTTATCAACCACAAAAGTTTAGTGGTGAAGTTTCGACTGGACATGTCTCCCTTGTAGTTTTCGTCAGTGTCAACATTGGGCAACTGTTGAAGTTTAAGTTCTTGTTTCAACGATCGTGGAGAGGAACAGTTTGAAAGCATCGCTGGGGTTCTTTGAATCGTGTTTGAAGTTTTCTGTGAACTCTGCAATGCAAAAATTGATATTTTTTTGGACGTCTTTAGTGGTGCTGGGCATTGTCAAGCTCTCACTGACGGTACAAGGTTAGGTCAGCTCTACTTTGTTGCCCGTTTGGAATGCTTGGAGTACTTCAGAGGTTACCTCGTTTTTTCCGCTCTTCTGGGAACTACGACTTGTTTGAACAGTAGAACGAAATTGGAAATGCTTCCATGGCACCTAGGTGGCGAGTTTTGGTCCGATGAAGGTTTGATCATTGAGGCTGGAGCTACGTCAATGGCAGTTTTATCGAATTCATCTCTTCCATACTTTGTAACCACCGTTCACGAGAAAGTTGGTGTAGTGGAGGAATTGATGATGGTGATGATGAATGGTGGTGCAAGGTGGATTTTCTTGTCCCGAGCTAATTAAATGAAATTCACGACACCTGTTTGTGCCATGTGTTTACGTATCTGCGTTTAATGACACACAAATCTTGCATTACCGAAACCTTTGGTTGATTGATAGCCTTCTTGAGGTATTTAATATTAGATGTAATGAGAAGTCTGGCATTTGTGAGGCTTCTTAAACAGTCCATTTCTTCCTCTAACTGCCTCAAAGTTATTTAGAGACGTTCGCGACCAAATTCAACGTCTCCAACTTTTTTAACGATAAACTTTTTAGTAAAGTAGCACAAGAGGGCTTCCTGAAGCACTTTACTCATGCTATTTTTTTTAATATTTTGAATCCCGTTACGCGGGGGTACAAGGCGCCTACATGGTGTGATGTAATGCTCTGGGTTTTAAGATTTCATATTTTTAATTAATGAAAATTGGATGCTTTAAGTTGGAGGCAGACATGAGCAAAATGTCGATAGTTTTGCGTTGCATCGAATTCGTCCTCCTGTTTTCTTGACACTGTAAATACTGTACAAGAGGGAGGTTACCTGGACGCTATCCATGATGCCAGCCACTTTCGAAAGTATCCTGCAGACATTTGGAAGACTTCTTTTCCGATGACACATCCAAGTCCTTCGTTGTCTTAATTTCGACTAGGTCTTTGCGAATTCACTTCGATCTTGCTGTAAAATGGAGTGTCGTGTGAATGTTAACTTTGAACAGCCGTACTCTACGGGCCCGTGTTTCACGCTTGAAGATTGGTCAGACCTTTTTAGATTGATGAATGCTTTTAACCATCTGGCCATATTCACGTGTGAAATGAAAGGCTACTTGCTTGTCTTCCTTGATTGAAGACGCAATCAACAATTCTGTAACGACACAGACCAGATCACAAATTCGTTCCATTCAAAGCCTCATCTTCCTCTTAGTTGCAATGCTGAATGCCTCGCTTCCCAAGCCTCCCACCTTCTCTATGACGGACTGATTCTTCACCTTCTGGACAGCGATATAAATGACACCATTATGCCTCACTTGAAACACGAGTTCGGTGATTTATACTCAGGCGATGCAGCCAATGAATTCAGGGAATTGGGTCTCCAGTGTCTCTACAATCTACTTCGGGCACGTCAACGCACCGCCACGCAGTCTTCACACCTGTCTCGTCTATTGGATACTAAATTCCAAAAGGTAAGGTGACTGGAGCTCAGAAGAAGTAGAATAGAGTTTTGCAGAGGCTTTCAGGTGAAATTGGGATTTGTGAGTTTATAGGACGGAGTGAAAAGTGGTCCTTTGGGAATGCCAACATTTGAAGGGCTGTGGTATAGTTGGACTTGTAACTATGGACGGCTAAACTACCCTAGGAGAGTTTGATGCAGGGTGAGGATTAGTCTCGGTTTGACTCCAGTGCCCTTCGTAGGTTCTTGAAGCCGAGTCTGTACCTTAGTAATTGGTTTCGTGTTGTTATTTGTTGCCATTGTAGATCGTTTATGTGCTGGCCAGTCTGGTGTGTTATGATCCCAACTGCGTTTCAACGTCCACGTGAGTTTGTTGTTGAATTAGAGACTGTTGGTGTTTCCATTCATCGTGGAAGTGGGAGGCCTGTCCTCCATTGATATGATTGAAAGGTTAGCAATAGCCACAGGTTGAGACGGGTGGATGCTTCTGGCACTGTTTTTTTATCTACCATGTTGGGTTCTTCGCAGATGCATGCATCCGTCCATCTTAAATCCATTCTCAAGTTCATTCTTTCATTTTGCTGCTGCTGAAGTGGGAGTACTGAGCGGGCTCTTTACCTGCCGAGGTCAAGCGAGTCTATCTATAGCTTTCTTTCATTGCAGCCATTTTCCGAAATCCAGCAAACTTCTGGTAGCTTCGACACCCCCAGTTTGTTCCCTTTGGTAAATTCTAATTTTCAAATTATGGAGGAATGCTCCGCGCTCTGCATTCACCACCTAGCTCTTCAATACAACAGCTCTCGCTATTGCGTTCCTCTTGATCGTGACTGTAGTGGAGTGGGCCTTTGGAGGAGTCTTCTGATTTGCTGTCAGTTCAGTGATAGCCGAAAACTCGACAGGACCATATTATCTATCCCGATACCAGGTGTCTGTTCCTTCTTTTGTGCCTTCTCCCTGTTTTGAGCGGGCAAGCAGATGCAGTTGATGCTTCCAAGAGCGGCACTAAATAGGGAGTAAGTAGGGAGCGCATCCGGTGCACCCGAAATCGGCTAAAGCCTCATCGGGAGTAAGTTGAGTTTTCCATGGAAAACCTCGTAGGAGCTGAGGCTCTTGGGGGGAGAATTGCGGCATTAGGGTGGAAACATTGGGCTGAGTGGTTGAGTCTTCTTGACGTGAGTGCCAGGAATGGATACCGGTTCGTGGGTTGCCATACCTCTGTGATCTCTAGGCTTTGCCTCCAGTCATTGAATTCGGAGGTGTGGGGAAGTTGGTCTATCATCACCAGGGAGGGCGTTGGTACTTTGTCACAGAAGTCAAATATCAGAAAGCGGAGGTTCTGCTGAATGCGGCTTGCGGATGGATGTTATCAGTTGACAAATGTCAAGTGGTTGTGTCAATTTGGTTTTCATTTTAGTACGAAGGTGTTGGGTGGCAGCGGCGATGACGACAATTTTAAAGATGCAGACGATGATGGCTCCCCCGTGGGCATGGATTACGAGAATGACGGAGAAGATGCCGACGACGACGAGGAGGGGGATGAGGAAGAAGATGATACGAGCTGGAAGGTTCGACGCACCGCAGCCAAAGTGATGGACGCATGTGTTCAAGCCTATCAGGAGAAGTTGGGACACTTTTATGCCTACTTCGCTCCAGTACTCATCTCTCGCCTATCTGGTGAGTTCGCAGTTATCCAGCCTGCCAGGAGCAGGAGACGAGTTCACAACACCCGGATTGGTAACTGTTGGTTCGATTGTTTTGCACAGAGGATCGAAATGAGGCGGCACGACTGGAGGTGTTCAACTGCTTGAACACCATGGTAAAGGCCACGACTTTGAAGAATCCTAACAGTTTGAAGATTCGCCTTCGTCAGCAAAGGTAAGAGAAAAGGAACGAGAGGAAGCGAGGCTGTTTTGTATACTTCTCTGAGCAACCGTCCATCCATGCACTCATTCATCGTTACTTATTTATATTCTGTTGTCTCTTCCATCCAGTTCCCAGTCCATGCTTCTGCGACTCTTGCCAGGCATTTTCCAGAGTATACAGCCCTTCACTTCTGCCTCCTCATCCAAACGCAGCAGTTCCCGAATGAGTAGTCCTTGCGTAAAAGTAAGTTGATGGTTGGTCTCTTACGCCACTGGTGGCAAGCAGGTGAGTCGGGCAGAGGCTCTTATTTTGGTACTTGAGGGTGACCCATTCCTTAGGTCTGACGAGCCACGATATTTCAAGTGATGAGTGAATTCGCCATGTCGAGGTGTTTGATGGAATCAATTCCAGCCGTGGACTTCAAATCACGTGGGTCGAATTCGAATGCGGAGGTGAAGCAGTTTTTCCGTTGATGGCTGCCTCACCGTCATTATTGGGGGAGCGTAAACAGTACCTAGCATAGATGCTGTGGAATGCCTTTAAGAGGTTCCGTGTCAATTTCGCTGAGTCCTTTCAAGCGGTGGTGGTAGTTCCTCTGAACGAACTCGTCACCTAACACCAACTCGCTCCGTTCTCCTTAGATACCACCAGTTGACGTTGTCCCCTTTGACCGATTCAGCTACTATTCAACCACTACACTGAGACTGTCGGACACCTTAATTAATTTCCTCCCAGCCAGTCTGGGCGATTCGGTACAGCGAGTTTCCTTGGATCGATGGGGGATTTCGCGTCACATATTTGTGACGCGTCGAGTTGCTCCCTATTATCAATAAAACTAGCTTGGTTGTGAGACCTCTGTTCCTTCACGTATTCGTTTTTTTCCTTTTTTCGTTCGTTCACCTGCAGACGACTCCTGCTTCTCACCAGGCGGTGCTGGCTCTTATTCGTGCGCTGGCACTCGCGTTGCCCGGCCACCTCACCGACCAATTGCTTACCATTGTACAGATGGTGAAGGGTGATTTCAGGTGAGGAGTGTGGCTCGCGATCTCAGGTCGTGGCTGAAAGACTTGCCAGTTTTCCGGTCAACTTTTGTCCATAAAATTGTAGTCATGAGGACGAATAATTTAGTGGATCTACTTATTACTTTGTAAGTAGCAACTACTGTGGCTGTGCGTTTTGAGGGGTCTTCTAGTTTTTGCCCCCGTCTGTGCCTGTTCAAGGCAAATTTCTTTGAGAAAAGTGTCGGGTGATTAACTTCTCCATCGGTGAGCCATAACTGCTGCACGAATCGACTTTCACTTTCCTACTTACCATCCTTTGTGAGTAGTATTGGACCACGTCTTATCGCGTATTCTCACATCAGCGGAACAAAAAGGGGCGTGAGTTGGCAAGTTTGTCCACTCAGTTGTAGTCAGCATCAATTCCACCTATAACTTGTAGTCGAACGGCCCCATTTCTACTTATTTACATTATGAATAGTATTTCTCTGCAAATACTGCTAGTTCCTTTCTTTGTGCTTGTCACCTCAATGCGTTGCTTAGCTTAAAAGTCCGGTTTGTAAAGAACCCAAAATGAAGTGCCATGTTCTTGTAATCCCATTTCCTGACTTTTTGTATCTTACAGTGAAAACTCGACAACTAACTCGGTGAAGATCGACCTTCTCAGACTGTTGCATCTGATCATCGAAACGCACGAATACGATAGCTATAAAGAGCTCGCGGACACTCTCAATGAGGTGCGCACGCTTGACCTCTAACCTCCTTTGTGTTTGATTTGGCATAAGTGGGTAGTCGGTCCATTCTTTTTCTTTTTTAAACAGATTGCGTTAACTGCGATCTCGGATGCCTTCTATCGTGTTTGCTACGAGGGTATGGATCTGGCGCAAATCCTCGTCCAACGGAGACCGCTGGGTAACTGCCCCTTTACGCGTTTCTTGGCCTACCGTATTTCGCATAAGGCTTTAAAAAAGATGTTTTTGTTAATTTGTAGAACACGTTGCTTCCATGGTATCTTTGTTCCCCGCCCTTTTGAATCAGCTTAAAGTGGTCAAATGTGACCTTGAAATTAAGGAGAAGGCAATGGTTACTGTGTAGGTCGTCCTCCTTTTTCACTCTCAAACTCCTGTCGGTTTCTTTACTGTAGCTCGACTTTCATTGAACAATTGGGGCAGGATCTAAGTCCAGAATGCCTTCAGGATACGTTGGATCAGTTTACCAAATTCTTGGACATCGAAACAACCCGAATCCCCGCTATTCGTTCGCTCTCCGTCATCTTCGCGTTCGTAGTGACTTTTAGGGGAAAGGTTTTTACTGCCTATAAGCCATAAGATAATTGCATCATTTCACTTTCAGGAGTCCGCTCAGTATCAAGACATGCCCTGTATCGGTAAGTGGAATTGGTCGCTGAAAAAAGGTGTTTTTAGCGCGATCTGACGAAAACACTGTTGGAGATGCTACGAGCGCGCGACTGTCATCTCCGTGCAGCCGCGACACATTGTATTACCGTGATCTGCTCCCACTTTCCACGCGACTTTATTCTGAACGAGGATAAAAATGTTGCGGCTATCCTGCCTCTTCTTCCGGACCTTCTTAATGATCCCAATCCTGCTGTAGTGCAAGAGGCCCTTGAATTAGCCGCCGCTGTGTTGAAACAGTGCTCACGTTGTGATGTGGTCCAGCAGGCTACGGTGGCCGACTTTTACACGGGAGAGAAATTTCTGGACCCGGTGATTGGCCTCACCCATTCAAGCTCTATTTCGTCGACTCTGTTGACCGCTCTCCTGCATCTGATGCAAAGTATCGGTATGTACAGACCCGAATCTCATAAGTTGTCTGTGAAGGTGAGTTCAACAAACATCTCCTAGATGCTGTTTTGGACAGCAGCCGCGGATTTCACACAAATCGCCTCTACTCACTCTTTGTTATAGTTTATGCTGGAAAAAGTGCTCGAACCGTTGGCAGACTATACCTCCGTGGAGATGAGTGAGAATTTCCTACTAATCAGGGAGGACTTATCCATCTTGGCGCGTGTTTGTGCTGAGTTGATTCTGCAGTTGCCGCGCTACGGGCAGTTGAATTCGATTGACTCGACCATGGAGGAGATGGTAGCTGAACTGAAGGTAGTCCTAGAAGCACTTTTTTTGCTCTTAAAATGTGTCCCAAATGGTGGGTTTGGAGTGTTTTGTGTCTTTTTTTGTAGAAAAAGACAACCCCTTACGCGAGACGTTATCTGTACATAATTATTTTCGGTGACGTTGGCTACAGAATGTAAGTTGAGTTTTTTTGCACCCCATTTTGTAATCTTTGAATGGAACCCTGATCGACACACGTTGGTGCATTAACCTTCCCCTCCCCGTCTGGTCTTGACCCCCTGTCTTTGGTGCTCTCCACGATCACTCTTCCGCCTCGCACATCAACTGGGCGACTGGAATGGGGATCGTGTTGTAATGATTTAGCATTTTAGATGGATAGTAGTGCTGGCAAACTGGGTTAAAGTGATTCGGCCAGGAAATGAATTAAGGCTACAAATGAGTGCATTTCGTGTCTTGGAACAGAGGCATCAAAGGTAGCTTCTCTCCACTACGTCCTGGTTGCATTCTCTTCCGTTTTGCTGCTTGAGTTTAGGTTGGTTACCAGGGGTCGATGTGTTTATAGTCGCTCCTCCTTGTGCGAGTCGCCATAACTTTGTCTCTCTACACCTGATTCCTTCCTTCTGCCACCAACCGACCGATACGTTTGAATGTGAGTGATAGCTGTCGGGCCTGTTCCACTGCATTGTCACCAATGTGGCCTTGAAGTTACTCCTCAATCCGTCATAAGGTGTACAAGTCTGAAGATAGCTGCACTGCAAGCGTGCGGGACTGTCGGAAGGTTAGTGGTAGATTTACGCCGTATCCTTGAACACCATCGCCCCAGGCCACGAGAAGCTGTGAGAGGCTAGAATGAAGACTTGCTGCTGTGCGCGTGTGAAGTGAAACGCCCTGGTTTGGCTTGAGGCAGCACTTTAAATGAAGTGTACAGAAGGTTGGCGACTGAAGTGCTCAGCATAACTGCTTATTGAATGCCTTTTCCAATTTCCAGTGATATCAGTCATCGTGGGGACGTCTTTGACATTCTCATGGACCACGTCGTTATGAACAAGTCTATTCTCCCCTCTACGGATCAGCAACCACCTCCCTCAGATGAGGCCCCGACTTCTTCATCTCCGCTTCCTTCTTCCACGTCTGCGACAGCATCAGGCAGTGGTAGCGGCTTTTCAGAGCTGCGACCCCTAGCCGTTGCAAGTTTGGGTCGTTTGATTGCGGGAGAACCGTCGGTGACGGTCCACGAACTTCTGCAGTTCTTCCATCAAGAGTATGAGCAGAATTTGGTGGTCTTCTACCTCTTACAGACGTTGCGACAGGTCAGCGGTGCCTCTTCGGGCTTGTGGTCCCATTTCTAACTCGAATCGATGTCAGAGTATTTCTTTAAAACTAGTTTTTTAAGCAAGTATCTAGAATACCGATCCAGAGGCCTAGGTCCTCGAAGTCTTATTTTATCTTCAGACTTTATATCTTGGTTTTTTTCGGTTGCAACCCTTGAAATTGAATTATTTCTTGATCTATGACATCTACATCCCCATCCAAACTGATTTTGTGGATTTAGCAATCATCTAGTCGATTTCTGTTTGGAATCCCTGAATTTCGAGGGTGGTCTGGGTGGAGGTCTGATTCTTTTTGCCTCCTATCTATCTGTCTGGCTAGCTAGCTGGCTGGCCTTTGAATGAATTCTCTCCCAAACGCTTTAGACCTTTTGCTTTTGGGATTCATTCAACTTCAACACGCTCCTCTTCCTACATCAAGATAGATTGCATAATTTTTCGTTTTGCGAGCCAAGACAGGAAAAAAACCGTTCCTCGACAAATGATCAGGTGTCTGAAGTTGCCTGGGCGGATCCTTTGATTACTTCAACAGCTGTTGTTGCTCTGCTTCGCAGCAAATTTGTTCTAGGACTGCCTTACTTCTCCATTCACCAGTGATACGGCATTTTAATTCCACCCATAGGTGATGCCTCGGCCAGGGAGGGAGGAAGGGAGGGGTAGAGAGACAAGGAGCTAAATTTATCTCTGCACCGAGACGATTCGGTGTTCCAGCTACGCTAATACGTCCCGTTCACGACACTCGGGGTATGGCAGGACGCTGCTTTTTTCCTCTGGCTCAGCGATTAGTTCAGGGCTGGAAAACTGGCTAGAGAGGTTAGAAAATCAAACCGAGGGAGGGTAGTCTTGCTGAAATCCACCCATACAATTCCTTATCACACTCCATCCAGTCTTTGGCGGCCGTCTTCGGCGTCAGGTTTGAAATGGCGCTCTCGATGGACTGTTCTATTTCTCACTGTCATCGTGAATGCTTTTGTCTTATTTCTTTCCCTACACAGGCTATCATAAATCTCGTTGAAGTCCGGTCCGCGGAATACATTTACCGCAATGTGGAGGAGGTCTGGTATGTCCACCTACACTTTCAGTTGCCAGACTTGGCAAATCCCCTCCTCACTCCTCACTTTTTACCTAGGAAAATTCTAATGTCACATGCAACCCATCCCGAGGAGGGCACAAGGAATACGGTGGCTGAATGCCTCGGCAGGGTTACGCTTCTGCAGCCAGCGGAACTGGTTCCACGGCTACACGCTGAGGTTTGTTCCACTTTTTTTTCCAAAGCAGAAGGTCACCTGATGAAGCCCATCCCTTAAATGTTCCTTTGGGTATCTGGACCACCTTCCATTACTCTTCCCTTCCCATAGAAAAATTTGAGATGATCCAGCTTCCAAACTCTTGTTTAAAGGGTTTTCGGCGAAAGGAGACATCTTGAAGATGAAGAGGACGTTTGGTTTTCACCTTGTAGCTTAACTGAAACTTATACCTTCCATTGCTTTTTCAATTGGCCCCTTATGAAAAGGACATCTTTTGGAGCGTTGAAGGTTCACCTGGAACCTTACTAACCGAATGATGGTCTGTCACCTGCCTCCCTCGTTTTCTTCAGCTGAAATCCCCAAACTCCGCCTCCGATAGTACCATTCGGTGCACTCTTGTCACGGCCTTCAAGTATCTTCTCTCCGTCGCCGCTAGCATAAACTACCCGGACGACGAGAATGGAATGGCCTCAGTCTCAGACACCGCCAACAGCACCGACGCCTCCGTTACCACATTAAATGATCGCCAGGAGCTCGTCCAGATCCTGTTGCAAGACTCCCGATTCCTCGATGTCCTCGCGTACATCCTGGACCGTGACCCAGATGTTTGCCGCGCCGCGCTGATCACCTTCAACACAGCGGCTCATTTCTGGCCCACCCTGATTCGTCCGTTGTTGATCGCTCCGATTGGTCCGAAACAGAAGCCTCTTGTGGAAGAAGTATATCGAGGCACGGTGGTGAGACAGGATCTCATTCGAGAGGTGCAGATGGGACCTTTTAAAGTGTACTTCGACGATGGGGTCGAGTTGAGGAAGGTGAGTTGGTGCTGTTTCTGTATTCTCCTCCAAATCTCATCCATGTAATTCCGTGGACAGTGCTCTGAACTGTCTGTCGAATGGAGCACAGTCTGTGTCTGTAGACTGCATTTTAGTGTCCTCAACCTCATCGAGTCTAAAAGGGTGCTTTTGTAACTCCTAAGACCTCGATAGATCTAAATTTTTTTCTACTTCGCATTTTCTTGATCTCACCTTGGCTCCCAGGATGTTGGAAGACTTCTCTGTCCAGAATTCTGAGTGTGAAAAGTGCTCGAAAAGTCCTCATGGCCTATTGTCAAGCGCTTTGTAGGTCTTAATCGTGGAGTCCTTCGTCATCGTCTCATCGCAGATCCCAGCACCTTCTCTCATTGGCCAAGTGGCTATTCCTCTAGACGGCGTTGAAGTCATCCCCAATCGGCGAAAATGTCAATCGCATATTAGTAGATACAGGAGTATCGCAGTAGATGAGATGTGGTAATGGAATTCGTAAGAATTTTTGAGGTTCTCATCGTATGTAGGAGAAAGTTTCTGCGCGGCAGCTCGCCTCCGTGGCAACCAACTCTCATGGCGTTAGTCTGTCAGGACTGCATCCACCAGGCGACATAACTCGGCCGCTTGATCTATCGAGTTTCATGTCGAAAAGCTAACAAATGGGAAGATATTTGAACACTTCAACTGGTGGGATCGATTGGTGGAAAAAGTGATTGAGAATTTATTGGATTCTTCTTGGGAGGCTGCAAGCTCTGTTGTGGTTCCAATCTACGTCACGTATATGTGACACCCGCTCTTATCTGGCACCGCATGTCACACATACGTGACGCTTGTCCTTTATCAGTTTATGGTAACTGTGGGCGGCAAACAGATTGGTTAAACTTAACGCGTGCTATTCTTGGTGGGAGAATGATCACTTTCTACTTTGTAGGCCTTATGGTGGTCAATCCGCACTGGCCACCGTGGCAGTGATCGTTTTTTACAGGGCGGGGATTCTCACTACTTTGCCACATTCACACCAGGTGCTTGCCAACTGACACCTTGTCAAAAATGACTTCACAAGGGAGTAAAATGCAGAAGTTTGCCCCTTCCGAATCCCCCAGGGCCTGCATCACATTTAAACAAACATTCCACCTCATTTAAACTGCCCCTTTATAAGCGTTTTGTTCCCATTGACGGAATCGTTGCAGATGGAAAGTGGGTTTAAAAGCGCAAATCATTTCGAGGTCATTTTGACATCTGATGCTTTTTTCTACCCTTGGTTGGATGCGAAGTCGTTCTTCCTGCCAAGAGGGGAGGCGGTTTAGCTGCTCAAAATTTGCGTTTTAAAATATGCGGATTTGCGCATCGACTCTAATTCGGTGTAGTGCGATCTGGTTGGAGGCGTTTCCTGTCGAAGTGATAAGCATTCAGCTTGACAAGAGACGGAGGAGAGGCAGGAAGAGGACGAGGCGTCGCAATTGCCTTCATGCAACTGCTTCTCACTGGCCAACGAGCTGGCCCTCCCTTCAGTTAGGCTTACGATCTGTCATCTTGGAGTGCAGAGGAATGTCGAAACGAACTTTTTCCGTAGCCCCGCTTTTGCGAGACGGAGGAGGAGTTTGCCTGTCTTTATGCGTGCGCATATCAGGAGGTTGCAAGATGCCCTGCCTAGCGGTGTGAACGGTGCAGAGCGCTCAAGACCACGAGGGATGGAAGGGATTCCGGTACTAAAAGTGTCAAGTGGGATTCGAAGTGCCTTCACAGAGGAGACCTCATCTTACCGGCTATGAACTGTTTGCCTGACCATCTTGCCACTGTTCGTCTTTTCGCTTCTTCCTCCTCCCCCCTTCCTCTTCTAGACGGCCTACGAGTGCATGTCAACCCTGCTGGAGAACCACACGGATCGTCTTTCGATGAGTACTCTTCTGGATCCCCTCATTGAAGGACTGCGGGACAACAATCACGTGAAACTCGTCGTTTGTCACATTCTTCGAAGGGTCATTCAACTTGCTCCTATTGATATTGTTAGAAGTGAGTGACGCTCCTTTAAATCCTGCATCTTCCAGTTTTCAGGGCTTATCGCAGAGGCCCGGGAGGTTTTTTGACGCAGTTAATACTCTCAACTTCGTGCAGATTGCTTTGAATGAAAATGCCGTCTAGAATTTGTCACCGACTGAACTTGTCTGTTGGGCATGCTTGACTAGATCCCACAGAGTCCTTTCCATGACTCCTGGGAGCTTATCAGCTGATACTGTGCTGCTGGATCTGATTCATTAGGCTCACTGGAAGATGCTGAAATAGGCGCATGCGAGTTTACGCAAAGGTGGTGTGCCTCAACTTTTAATTTTTTTAGCAGGTAGTGTCTTCTTCGTAGAGGAGCCTACCTGTTCCACTCGAATCTTTGAATATTCTTGGCATATAGGTATATCTAGGTCGACAGTAAGTCCATTCAGTGCCCACCTGCGATCCTCCATATTTGCTATTACGGGATCGACTCTCTGACGTAAGAGATATTTCAGGATTACCTGCTCGTCAAATTTTATCTCCTTGCCTTCGTAGAAATGCCAGAGCTGTCCCAGGCGCTGACGGCCATCCTGCAACTTCAACCAAAAGGCGACCTGGTGAAACGGGAGACAGAGAAGTTGGAGGAAGTGAAGTCTTGTGCTCTCTCAGTCATTGCCGATTTTCCAAAAATCCCCGATATGCGTGAGTGTGCTTTATCTATTCCTTTTTGCTCTTTTAAAGTGTTTCATAGGGGCATGTAAAAGGTCACTGAATATCTGATATAAGTAGTATCTACTCGTAGTGTTTCTTTGTGCTTCAAGGATAGGTGGATGGCATGTGAATCGAAGGTGAGCAGTAGTTCCTGCTTACGCTGAGCTTCTACAACCTACTCCACCTAGGAGTTGGGCTCCAGGGAATCCTCGTCACCTTGAAGGGACGACACTTGAATTAGTGTTGTGAGTAGCAACTTCCGATAGTATGTTTTTGGGTTGAAGTGGACGAAGATTTCATTAAATGAAGAGTGGTAACAGAATGTAGCCTTTCAAAACTTTATCGTGAAATATGGCTTACTCTTTCTGGCTGCTTGGCTGGTCGCTGAATTGGTGTTGTAAGTAGTTTTTGCCGAAACTGATAAAATATTGTTTCATGATGGGTGGATGTTCTTAGTCTGTTGGCTATAGACACCCACATTCATCCATCCTGTATCCATCCATCCATCGAACAAAGGATTCTTTGAGGCCGGCGCCTCCAGTCATTGAAAAGACGCTTGGAAGTGCTGAGGGAATCGCTGATTGAAAGGAAGATAGAGCGTTGTATTATGGATCGGCTTCACTTCCACTTCCTATGTTGAATATTCCGTTTCTTATTTGTAGGCAAAAATCAATTCTTTTGCGAGTTGATAAAGGTCATTCGATCCGAAAAGACACTCACCTCCATGTGGATGGAAGTGGTGGGTGGTGAGTCGTTCTTGACGAAGGTTTGAGGCTGAAGAGCACGAGGCGGCAATCCCTCGTAACTCATTGTCATCACCTCCTCCTTCCACTCGGCTCTCCTCGTCTGCTCCCCTCCTTCTGTAGCTTAACCGAACTCTTGCTGAACCATCGCTCCCCCCCTTTTGTTATTGCTTGATAAGGAACACCCAGAAAGGTGACATTATTGAGAAGTGAAATAAAGTTGGGTTTTTTGTGTGTCTGGCTTGCGTGCTGATGAGGAAGAGGAGGGGGTGCCCCTCCCGTTAACCGCAAATGCTTCTGCTGATGGCGCTTGGAACTCGGCAGATCGCCCTGAGTCAGCTCAGGACTCAGACCTTTAGCCAGCGGGTACCGTGTTCTTGTTTGATCACTCGTAAGCGGACACTTCACATATCAATGGGTTGACATGAACAACTCGAAAGTCTTGAACGTCAAGAGTGAGAGCAATTCAGGAAGTGGAAAATCGCTGTCCGCGGAAATGAGTATGGAAGGCGGCTCCGAAATTGATGTCCACTATCGCTTGCATGAGATCATCGGGTGAAGTGGAGCACCTCGAACAAGATGGCTAGCATTAATTGAACTGTGTTCAACGACAGTCCTTCCGAACGGCGCCTTGAGTCCTCCCTGAAGTTGTCGGCAAGAGGTAATGGGCTGCTGGCACGGTCTGAGGGTCATCCTGCTGAGAGCGAAAGTACAACCTGAGGAGACTGAATTGCCCACGGGACTGGACACATTCAGTCAAACGGAGTAGCTGAACCGGTACAAGGCCCCTCACGCCTTGCACGTCGGAGAGGGGGGTGTGGCATCAAACCTCCCGCCGACTAGGAACACCAGGCATTGCAGCCCTTTGGGCCCGACGTTACTGAGGCATCTCGGCAGTTCTATTATGCCTGGTGTTTCGCCCCTCCCATTCGTGAAATGTTTTGGGTCAGGGGAAGTGCACTAGTTTCATACCACTCAGGACCGGACTGGGCTCCACATCGAGGACATTGCATGCGCCAATCACTGATCGGAGGATGGTTAGCCTACAAGTAGAGCCATTCGCTGGGCTAGTGACTTCCACCTCCTCCTCCTTGTCACTTTGTTCCCGCTTTAGTGCTCTTCAGCCAAGCTTTTCACGGTTCTATTCGGCTAGAAGAGAGGCGGAGGAATAGGGGTCCCCGCATGGATGCGGTAGACAGCTCCATAAAGCACTCTTTTAAGTAGGATTTCGCCTTGCTTGTTGATGGCCTTCTCGTGGAACACGGAAGTAGACGTCGTTACCAGCACATCTGTCAGGCGTCTCCGCAGATTCATCCCTGACGTCAATTGGCTCGTTGGAGCACACTACTCACTAACCTACAGTAGCAGAAGCACAACCCTCATTCCCTACTTCATTATTACTTCCCCAAAGAAGCCTCTACCTCCCCCCTCCCCCAAATCACCACCCCCGCGCATAGAAAACAGGTGGCACGGGAAATCACTTTATTTGCAAGTATGTACAGTCGGGCTAGCTAGAGTGGTCATTGCCTCCCGCCAGCACGCAGGCTTCTCCGCCCTGCAGCGCCGCCTTCCCATTGGCTGTGAGAAAGATAGGCAGTGGGAGGCGCCGATCAAGTGAAGCCGCTTCCACCACCCCCGCTGGGGTGCGCAACAGCAGGGAAGGGGTGACGGTGGCGGGTGATGAAGAGACGGCGGTGAGGTGGGTGGTGGTTGCTATTGCCGACCACGTGTGTTTGGTGGAGACAGCGGCTGCTGCGGCTGCAGCAGCCATAACGGCGGCCGTGGCGGGGCTGGTGTTGGAGGAGGAGGCGGCGGAGAGACTTGAGAGCATTTCTGGTTTGGGTGGCGAGAAAGAGGGGTAAAGATAATGGGGTGGGTTAGGCAGTGGGAACACGCTCATCCCGTGTTTATCCATCCATCTATATCTCCCAATTTTTTTTATACTTTTTCTTGTTTCCGCTTTCGACACTCCATTTTTTTGTTTTGAACTAGAATGCTGTAAACAAGGTGATCATTTTGCTCCGCCCGACTTCCAACCAATCTGAATGCTGGCAGCGCCTGTATCATCTTAATCAGGAAACAGGGTAGTGTTTGTCGAAACTTAGGTGCCTTGGTTTTTTCGGACGGAAAAAATAACATGCGGTCTACTAAACCAAATGCTCAACACAGTTTTGACAGCCAAAACAGCTGGGACCGCCTTGTTTAGGTGGAAACTGGACGAGCTCGTTTCCCTTCTCTCCTGATACATTTTCAAAACTGGCAGAACATTCCTCAAGCCCTGGACCGTTAGAGAATACCACCAAATGGGAAAATTATGGGCAGCAGTTCCTTACTTAAGTAGTATCTTCAGCCCATGAGGGCTGTCGAGGTGCTGATTCGCACCTCTTGCGGATGAGGGGTAAAAGCGCTACCTCATAACACCGAGTAAAAGTTCGCGTTTTTTTATTTTATTTATTTATGATGAATTTATTGCGATTGATTTTCCAAAAGTATCGCTTAAATGAATGGGTGAAAAATGATGGCTTTCAGGGGGTCTATTTTAGGCCCGCAAACGGTGCTGAGGGAACTGACGAAGCCATCCACATCACTTAGCATCCGTAGAGGCATTCGACTTGAATTTGATGATACTTAAGCAGCTGGTTTAACGCTGTCTGAATGGAAACCAGAGTACAGTAGCGCAGAGGTGTAGAAAAAGTGTCTCGCGGACGAGGGCATCATCCGACGTCTTCTTGCCTCCAGGAAAATTTGCTAACTATCAATCACAACTTCTAGATTGTTTTGCAGCTCCGACCAACCGGAAGTGATGTCTTTAGACTTCACGGATCGCATCTCCGGGCCGACCAGATTTTATCAGCTCATCTTCTCAGGCCAGACACAGCTAGACGCAGCAACTTATTCGTCGAAAAACCAAAAAAGTTCCCAAAACTAACAGGAGCAAAAAGACGCTTTGGTCCATACATGTGTAGATCCAAAAGCATTTATTAAGAATGGAGGACTTTTCATACCAGAAGAGCTTTTTTTCCCGGATGGCTCACATTCTTTGCGCCTTTAAACACCACGGTGCGGCAGACTGTATTATTTAACCGCAAAATCAGTTTCACATTCTTTTAAATTAAGCAAAAAAATTTTTGAAAATACATTGCACAGAGTGTAATTTCTAAGTTCAAAAAGGAACCTTGCCTTGTTTGAATTCATCAGACTGGCGTTTCACAGGGCAAATGATTGATTTTCCCCTTAAAATTTCCCGCTTTGTCACTGATTCAAACAAACAATGAAAACCAGTTAAATGCCAAAATCGACGAATTTTTAGAATGCTCTTTTTCTTTTGGACTCAAAAATGACTCCAAGTGGGAGCAATTTTGCATTGCCACTGACGGAAACGTGTGGGTGTCAACACGTCAGTGTTTGTTTTAATGTCTTTTAAAAACAGGAAATGGCACCAAAAATAGTAACACATATTCATTTAAATAGTGATGCTTGGTGTTGCTAGCGGATTGACCACTACCGCCTCCCGCGTAAGTCACTAATTGTCTTCCGCTAATAAATGTCTCCCTCGCCCTACCTTCTTTTCTTCTCCCCCGGGCCACACCGATTCTTTTATCAGTTGAAGGTCTCATGCATGCAACCCAGATGAATTTACTCTAAAGGTCTACTTCGAAACAAACATTATGAAACATTTTCGCACCACTCACGCCCTCTATCGGCGTCGTGATGAGTAAGAAGCGGTGCGTACCACCTCGGCGCCTTTCGATCTCCCCTCAGCGGAGGTTTTGCAGGCTGAATTAATTCACTATTTTCTGACTGATACACCTCGTTGTGAGTTGAGCAATTCGACTTGCAGAACTAAGAGATCCACAGCAGGAGGTCTGTCGTGTCTGACGCACTGGTTACTACCACTGGGTTTGGAGATCAGGCCGACTGAATGCCCTTAAAGGTAACCATTTACCTCTAAGTCAGAGGAGGCGACGGCCCGTGACGACTGAGACATTAAAGACACCATTGGGCACCTCTAAGGCCACACTCAAAAGAAAGAGGACGTTGAAAATTCCTTGGGATCTTTACCTCTCCTTGGAGCTAAACCTTCTAAGACTACACACTTGTTTGTAATAGATCATTCTTCTAGTGGTAGCTTACTTTCCAACATTACGATTCCTCGTAGCAGGAGGCCACGCAAACTTTACCGACGCCTATTTTGCTCCCCAACACCCACTGGACGAGATTAAGAATGGCGAAGAGATCTGACCCGACGCACCATGAGGGCTGCAATATCCTTCGCTCTCGCCTACCAACTACCTCAGGTGTTGTTTTAGGAGAAAAAAAAATGGAAAGTAAACACTGCCAATTCGACTTTTTAGGCAATCTTACAAAATGAAGCACAAAAATGGAGAAAAATTGACTCATTTTTGAAGATAAAGGTCGATACGCGGTTTCAGCATCTTCCTCCCCCTTGCCTCCTTTAGCTTCCCCACCACCGTCCCCTCTCTCCCCTTTTGAGCTTACTCGCTAAAATTCTCTTCCTCTTCGACGCCAAAAGTAAGGGGGAATGCTGAGCTCCTCTGAGAGGGATGTCATAAAATTTTGAGCATTTTATTTCATTGTACTTTAATTTCGCGTGTGCAAAATATAAATAGAGTTCCCCTTTTCGTTTTACCTCTCTGATGGCACCGACATTGAGGGGATTGAGTAGGATCACGGAGGCCACTTCAACTTGGAGGTCTGGTGTGACTGAGGCTGGCTGCGGGGTAGGGATCATTTAATGCGACAACGGCGCTGCCTCCAGACGACACTTGGGATTTATGCGGGAGACAGAATGACGATATGTTGTCTAGACACGCGGAGCCAATGGCATTTAGAATGAAGGACCATTGTAACTTTTTTAGAATTTAATTTTGAAAAAGGCTCCTTTTTCTGCCTTTTAATTAACCATTTCGTGTGTGTGTTGCGAGCAGAGGTGCTTTCAGATGCGTTTTTGTTGCGAGGACCGCGTCAGTAGCTACGCGGTGAGGCATGCACCCCCCATCTCTCGCATGCTGTAAAGAGAAAAAATTACTTATGGAGGCCTGCAGAGACTGATCCGTCGGTGACGGCGGAAGAAAAGTGACCTTCAGTCCACGGAGACTTGCAACACCAGAAGTGAGGAAAGTGTTGTTTACTTACGTCCCCTCGTCAAGAAAGAGGGAACAGGTGTATAAACTGAGCAGTCCTGCGACCCACTGCTGTTTTTCCAGAACTTGAGCAACAGTTTTGCCAACCCTTCTTTTTTTTGCATAAATTTCCCCCCATAAATGAATCTGTAAACAAAAACCTTTCTCCACACTTTACAATCTTTCATAAGTAGGGAAGGCTTCTCTCCTCTGTTACCATGGTAGACCGCTC